GGGTCTCGGGGGACGTTCGATTTCGCACGAAAACGTCCGTCCGCGCGTCACCGGTTTTCATAGGTCTCCGATGAATTGCAGGTAATGGCCCTTCTTCTTTTACTACCGGCATCTCGTCATAAAAACCTATACCGAGAGAACAAAACAAAAAAAAACCAAAGACAACAACAGTTGCATTTCTTGTGTCAGACAACGGAAATCACGTACCGAATTTTTCACCGTACAGAAAAATAAAACGACCACCGAGTTGACCGCATAATATTACCGCATGGTCGTTCTGTTATTGGGATCTAGTGAAAAACGACAAATTAATAATATTAATTATAACAATAATAATATACATGCTATGTTTATATAAAAAAAAAAAAACACTTATAATACTTCACGTTGTGTTATTATAATTGTTTGTGGCCGAAGATTGATGATGGATTATTTAATCAAACACCGCGACGGCAAACGCGGTCTGGGGGGCGGCTTCGGGTCAAAGGCGAAGAAGGCCCGGTAGCAGTTCATGGATTAACGGGCGGTGTGTTTTACACAAAACAAAATCCAAACAAACAATAGCGGCAAATATGTATAGTAAAAAAAAAATTAACACCTATAAAAAAAAAACGACGACGTTTCATGCGATCCGTAACGGAATGTTAAACACGTATACGGGATAAAAATAAATGAGATCAACGACGCGCTCTGCAGTCATTCAATATATTTTATAATAATAAAAAAAATGTATTATTATTACCCTATAGTTATAATAATATACCCAATACAGTCGAGTAAAAAAAAAAACTACCGATAACAAACTATACAATATTAATTCGGCGTTGTGTGTTAACAGTTTTTAACCGCATATAGGTACCGCCGCGTTTTCCACAATATCGTGTATCAATGTACCTAATATACTGTAGTACTAACAAAACGGGCCGTGTCCAAAGAACAGTAGGTATAAGATATTAGTTGACAATCAATAAAAATCCAAATAGGTAACAAAATAAACAGCTAATAACATATTATATTTTATATTAATAATAATAATAATGGTATATGTACCTATGATATGTATTATTCATGATATTATATTGTTGGAATTGGTGATTTTATTATGCGATGAAATGTAAATAATACGCTCGTGTCAAATTCAAATTTTGAGAGGGGGAGGAGGAGTTGGTATCATTTTTTGAACTGCGTACTAGCTCACACGAGTTTGCGGTAGCCGTAATGGTCACTAGAGAATACGCGATACCTTTAACCGGCGCAGTACATCCGACAAACACTTATACATTGCACATACTTTTACTTATACGTGAACATTTTGAGTGTTGTACGGGATAAAGGCGAAAATGCTTTAAGAAAAGAAGAACCGCGCCTCGTAACCTAATAACAAACGTATGCGCGGGTAGGTTGTGGGGGGCGGTGGCAGGGGTGAAAGCGTGAGGGGATGAAAGTGCCGAGTGGCCGCTACCGCCCGTTCGTGAAGATGGTCCCGTGGGGACGAACACCGCTCGGGCAATTTGGTCAATTTGCTTGGTAAAAGAAGAGAAGAAGTATAACGCTGCGCACATAACGGGGGAAACCGTTGTCATTGATAATTCCTTTTCTCTTTTTTTTCTCTTGTACATATTATATATATTTATACGTATGTGAGTGTGTTTTTTCTTTCATTCGACCCCAAATACACTCGACGCTAACGTTTTTATTCCCTCCGTCGTCAATCACCTCGAGGTGTGCGTATGAGTAACTTCGTTTACTTGGCCGGCGCAAAGACGTGACCCTTTGAAACGGAATTACATATATTATTTAATATTATCGCCGAAGTCCGATAACGAACGGCCATTGCGGATTATTGGCTAGTTTAATCTGAAATCGACTTTTTGTGTATATATATATATATATATAAATAATCATACAATCCTATTATTGCTAGTACTCTCACCGGACACACGGACTTGGGGAACAGTTCAAAGACTCAAAACTTTAGAAAATACCGATTATACACATTAAATTCTTCAACACTGTTACACTTACCATATAAATAACGACAGGTTACATAGAAAAATGTTATAGAAAAATATTGGAAATTGTACTAAGAGTCTAGGAAACTAATTAATACAGAACTTTAAAAAAAAATAAAAACTTTAAAGCTCATTTGCCAAAGTTAAGTTAGGTAGGTCCTAAAAGAAATATATTAAACATGGTATTTTCTAAATGATCATATTGTGTGGGAGATCTAAACAGTTTTATCAAACAAAATAAATAAACAAATAAATTTATCAAAAGTGTCATACTTTTTTATATGATTATTTATATTACTTTATGTGTTTTCCTCTGATAAGTATAAGCTATAAAACTTGTAAATATTTTAGTTTAATTCCTACAGTCATGTTACTTATACCTACTGTGCACGCTGTCGTAACACATCCAATAAAGAGTGTAAATAAAACAAAACGGCGGCCCTCTACCGCTTAAACATAATATATAAGCGGATATGATATTATTATCATTATTATTATCCTGGAGAATACCTACTTTTGATTAAACGAATATACACCGTTCGGACGCAATTGATTGTGTGTTGGCCGGCGGAAATGTCTCGGCAGACGAGGGGTCAAGTTAGCCTCTAGGGAAATCGGCCGACATATATACATTCATATTATATATACCTACCATCGTATATTATTGTCCCCTTAAAAACAAACACGGGCGACCAGGTCTTATTAATTTAAAATCCGTTTTCTTCCAATAACTTGAGCGCGTTTAAGTCAATACAACTTACCTATACACTCTTATATGTATATAATCCTATACTGGAACAAGGATATCATTTATTTCATTTATGTGATCGAACGATAGCTATATTTTCTGCAGAGCATCTGCTGTGGAAATTTCTGTTAAAAATGACTTTTGCCATCGCACACGTCGTCGCCGTCGACATGTATGTTTGTCCATTTGTTATATATTTTTTTCCATAACGCGAGAATTCTAGTTTTTTTTTTTTTTCTCTTGTACTTACAGATCATTCGGGTATATAGAGATTTATTGCTACTGTGACGCTCTTCTCGTGGTTCGGCTGTTAGAGAAATAAACGATACGATCGGTATAAAAAAAACCAAGCATAATCCGTTTAACGATTCGTAATACCGAAAACGGCCGCGATATGTAATATTATTATAGCGTCGAGGACGAAGAATGGTAAAAAAATCCTGTATATATACACCTATTATTGTCTACTGCGAGGAGCAGCCTAACCGGTAACGCGGTTCTCATAAACACATTAGGTACCGACAGTTTGGCTATGCCGTTAGGACGCTTTTCGCTATTTTAAGTCTAAATGTCTTAATTTTTAAAAGCAATGCCTTATTTCCAGAATAAAAACGAATGTTTATTGATAATAATTACACCTTGTACATTTTTACTTAAAAAAAACATACAAAGTATACTTTTGCTAGACTTTTATCACGAGCCGTCTTACAAGAATACTTGAAGAAAATTTTTGTTTGAACAAAAAAGGGTCTTATATGAACTTAGCATTGTTCGTGATAAATCATACAATTAAAAAAGTATTTATCCAAAAACGTTTGTGTCTTTACGCAATGAACATCAAATCATACATCCTTGCGGAAAACGGAAAGTTCAATTCTACATTGACAATATTTTCCCAAAAATTACATTGACCTTTCTTTATTCTTAGTTTATATATTATAATACACCAATAATTGGTTACAACCAGTCTAGGACAACATTGTAATACATCTAAAAGAAAATTATGTACTACTGATGGACAAATTGTTTTTCTATTTGTTCTACATTATCTGTGTAGGTACTCTAGTCTTCAACGCGTACTTATACAATCGCCATTAACCATCTGATGGTAAACATATAACCATGCTGCAGACTCTGCTCTGCAATAAATTGTTCTGTATAAATATCCACTTCGGTCAGTTTTTCCAGAAAAGGTAAAACGTTTCATATCCTACAACCGTCCGTATAGATTGGCAAAAATAGCATCGCCTTTTTTTCTTGAAGATTAAATGGTATTTTATTGATATACATAAAAAATAGTAGCCCGTCGGTATACACTTCGACGATTAATTACAGTAATTAATGGCAAATTGAGTAATAAAAAAACATTATCTTTCTTAGTTCTCAGAATTTTATCTTCTCGATTGTAAAAAAAAAAAGTTAGTAGATAATTAAAAAAAAAATAATAATATGTAATAACTTTGGTTAGTTGTTTTACCAAAAATAATGGCTCGCTATACTCAATAACTTGTTATATATACATGTATGGTTTTCAAACGAATTAAGAATTTCGAATGTTTTGGTGATAAAATTGCTTCTTTGCGACAAATTGGGTTCTCTTATACGACCTGTGATGGTATTTTCACAACACCGAGTTCTTTTGCCGTCTGCTTTTACATGATATAATATGATGCGATTGCGGTTTAATACTGGACCGTCTCCAAAAAGTTGTAGCTAAATCTACATTCAATACCGCGTCTCCACGGTGCTTACATGGAATGATGAAAAAATACATACCTAACATAAACGGACATTATAAACGACGATAGAGCGTGTGCAATATGATTTCCTACGGCGTATACCTATACAACAACCGTGTGACTCGAATAACGTTTAAACGGCGCAGTGTCCATATAAGTCGCGTCCGGTTTCCCGGTAATACGTCCGCCGTGCACGGTGTATAGTGAGAATAATAATATAATGGCAATAATAATTAAAACAACCCCCGGAGACGACTCGCGCATTTTAAACGTGTCGCTTTTCGTGGAAAAAAAAATAACAATAAACTTTTATTTTCTCGGTCGTTCGCGCGACGAGGTGTATAATAATTAGGCGGGCGTATGTCGAACTGTCAGTTTAGGTACTAAGATAATAACCCATACAATCGACACAGGGACACTACGATATTTTACAAGCGAGATTGTATTTATTCATTTTATATATATATATATATATATTTTTTTTTTTTTATTGTCTCACAGGATACTCGAGTTGAGGAAAGAGAAGAGTCGCGATGCGGCTAGATCGCGGCGGGGCAAGGAGAACTATGAGTTCTACGAACTGGCCAAAATGCTACCCCTACCAGCGGCCATCACGTCCCAGCTGGACAAAGCGTCCATCATTCGGCTGACCATATCGTACCTGAAGCTCAGAGATTTTTCCGGACACGGTGACCCGCCATGGACCCGAGACGGACCCCCGTCGGCGTCCAAGAACCTTAAAGGTAATTGAATAAGTTGTTAATGTATCATGTTGAAAAAAGTCATGTCGGTTTCCATTGGGGGGTGGGAACACAACAAATCCAATTTGAACAAAATCGTTTTTCTAGCCGTAGAAAAGTATTATAATTACTGTACTCGTCTGGTTGTAACCTAAAAACTACGGTAGGACATACTTATTTTGAAAAAGTAAGCATTACTACGCTATACCACTATAACACTGACATATCTTCACTATAACGTTTTACTTCGTTTTATTAGCTTTATTGCAGGATTTTTCTTTGGCTACGATTTGTAAAATATTACATAAATCATCGCGTCATGACTCATGAGTTTTAGTGTTACAGAGTTTAAACAAAAATATTACATTAGATGCTCAAGTCATGTCATTCATAACAATTCCAACTTTTTTAATAATTATTGAGGTTAGCACACTTGGATATTGTTGTATAAACTGTTGCGGTTACAATGGATACAATATAATTTATGTATATTATACTTAAGCCGCAGCCATCGGTATACCACGTGTACCGATATTATATATTGATCGTATATTGTTGTAAGGCTTTTACCCCATCCTCCCTTGAATTTTAAGTCGAGCGTTTTCAATTTACATCATTTAAAGCAGCAGACGATTGTCCTGGTCTTGTCGGATATTTACTTGCTTGTCCCAGCTACGTTGCTTTTGACAATCGCTGATTTAACGGATCCAGTTTACTCAGCACCACCGATTGAAATCAAGACTTTACCCCATCCCCTCCCCCCCCCAAAAAAAATGGCCATGTAATACGGTGAAGCGGATTTTCGAGCAGATGGTCGAGACGCAGATAAAGAAAGAAAAAAAAGAAACTTTACACTCGACCAGCATTCAATTAAAGGGCAGAAATGTCAAAAAGGGGACAATAACGCTCTACGTATAATTTCCAACGTTATTCCTTGTTTTCTTTTCCTCTCTATCTTTTTTTTTTTAAAGAAGAAGAACAGTAATGATAATGTACGCTTAAACGACGTTTATGGGGCGATGATGTTTTCGAAATGTTCCAGATAACTAATTCGACCGTCATAATAACGCGACTCCCGCACCGGGCGCAACCCCTAAAGGAATAACAAAAAAAAATCATAATGCACTCAGTAATCGAATTTACATGAATCTTCCCTTTTTTCTTGCCACGTGTACTGCTGCTATGTTGGTTAAAACAAAATGATGTCGTGGAATGTGTCACGACCATCAATTGAATCATTTCCATCGTATTACGTTATATGACGGAGCACGAGCGGATTAAGCATACTATACACACATGTATAAAATATATTATACATATATAACAAAACAAATGTCACAATCGAATTTATTACAACTCAAACGAAGGGTTTACTGCATGAATGGTTCAAGTGCAAAAACATATATTTATTTATGATAATACAATAAAAAAAAAAATAGTAAAACGGTTGAATTTGATTGAAAATTTACATGAAAAAAAACGGATTTGGCCTGAACGACTGATTCGATTACCTATGCTATGACTACTATACATATTTAAAAATGGCAAATATATTTAATTATTATCGGGGTGTTCTGCTATAGGTTCCTAGAGTCACGTATTCTCAGATGGTCTTAAGTTTCCAAGTTACTCCTATGATTATTGATAACATATTTTCAACAACCTTGCCTATCGTGGTAGTTTTTTTTAAATCAGACTATCGTGAGTATGAAGAATACAAAAATAATACTTATTGGAATTCCTAGGAACTCTAACCGTGAGGGATCATAAAAAGTTTACAAGCGTCATGTACGACAATGTATAGCAATATTTCGGTCTTCGTAACTTGTACTACTTATGTATATAATAAGAAACTTTTAGTAAAATATTATTGTAGGTATAGGTAGTGTTTTTTTTCTAAATAGGTTTAAAGGGGCCAGAAATTTAGAAACTACTAGCAATTGTTTTTGTGTTTAGGGTTTTATTTGTTAAGCATACAATAATGTTCAAGACAATAGTATTTTATTAAAATATTGCGAGATGGGCGATGACTCAAAATTATTTTCCAAAAGTAATTTCCACTCATTATTTTACTTATCATGAGACGCTTTCAGTTTTTCAAACGACTAGGACATTTTGGTCTTCGGGCGAAGCCCAGACATGTCCAAATGACCACTGCGAACGTCAATCAAGAAACGAATGGTAGCGAGTACTCGCGATAGATAATTCGATTTCTCATTTAAACGCACATTGGTCGGACGGTCAAGTATAAATTAATTTACCTCCACCGCAAACGTTTATCGAATTACCCATACACTTGTCGTCGGGGGAATTGCCGGCGGTTGTCGACAGCGGGTCAGTACTAAATTGCGGCTGTTATATAGTTTTGCCCGTCAGATGTCCATGATTCGAAAACGGAAGCCAATAAAAACACCATAAAGTTTATTATTATATTATGGTTTTGATGGTAATTAGTCTGAAGTTGCAACTAAAATTCCAAACTGAAAACAATGACTATAGGCGATTATAGCGAGCACGATTGATTTTATGTAGGTACCTATTGTATATTAATGTTGACGTTTATTATTTAAAAAAAAAACTGTCAAATCGAACGGATCGGGTATTTTTCGAATTGACATACGGATTTTGTCCTCGAAAAATTAGCATTAACATAATATAGTACGGATGAAGTCTGAAGATTATTTTTCGGTTCATTTGACTTGCGTAGCACCGCCTCCGGGTCTAGACAGGAATCGTGTTGGAATCGCTTCGACGGCGCACTCTTCGCTGTAATAATAATAAATAATAATAGTAATAATAAAACGTGCGACCGGCTCACAATACGGATCTAACTAGCTAAACACAGCCACCGTCGTCCCTTGTCAACACCACGGCTATATTATATAACATGTATAAAAGCGAAAACTATAGAAAAGAGGGTGGGTCGTGCCGATTCAGTTGACGGCGACGGTATGTGTGATTAGATTAATAATCCACACGGCACTACCCCTGAAGTCTGAACGTGCTCTACCGCCTACCATACACAATGAAATTTGCGTACATTATAAACGAACACTTTGTCGCCGAAAATTTGCATGCCTAAGAGCTGGTGCACACTTAATAGTCTGTCGGTATATTATTTTTTCGGAGGAGGAGAGGGCGTGGCCATTTTATTTTATTATGACGAATAAAAAAAAAAAAAAATTATGTACGATATTTCCGTAAGACACCGTCCGCCGAATATTATAACTTATAACCGTCACTGATGAGCTGCCGTTCAATACGGTTCGATATTTTTATTTTTCATCGTCGATAGATATCGTTTATTTTTGTTAACTCCGCCTGCATTGTATTCGACTTGGTCATTATTCTCTTGAAAATTTGCCGACGATTACAATAATATAATCGCTCACAAACAAAAAAACTAGTCCAAAACATTAACGAGACCGGAGACTACGAAATTGCATGCATTATTTGTAAAGAAGGGATAAAAATCAATAGTTCTTTTAAAACAAATAGATACTTTAATAAAAGTTCTACATTAAAAATGTTCAATGAGAGTTCTAATTAATATTTCTGTACCTATTTCAACGTTAATACTAAATAAATTTAGTTTATCTAGACTTTAAAACAACAAAAATTACTTTCAACTATGTTGTATAATAAATTAACTAAACTAATAAAACGTCCAGTACCACTCGGTCTTACGATTTCTAAATTTAAGATTCTCTATGCTATGGTTATCTTATTCTGCAGAGAATGTAAATAAATACTAAAAGAGTCAAATGGTTATTGTACTACATTATAATATTACTAAGTAAGTATAAAATCTAAAAATGTAATGGTTAGATAAGAATTTTGACTACGTTTTTACTTTTATTGTTTTAAAACTAAATTTTTAGGCGAACAATGTAGTTGTATGTCATTTTTATTTTAATAACGATCCAACTATAATCGTTTATTAATGGATATTGTAAAATACAAATTATCGGGTATACTTTACAAAATAGGTAAAACACAGAACGAGACGATCAACCGAAAAATTGTAATATATAATGTCTTAAGGAATTGTTTCTAATGAATCAGTTGATCACTTCATTAAAACAGTACACCGAAACTCGGTCTTGTTTCCTAATTATGTAGGCCTAGACAATGGCGAAAATACTTGGTTAGTTAAATTGCTTAAGGCGTCTGCGAACGCGCTAAAAGAATTCATCTGTGCCTTTTTTTTTAACAACGTTCATTGTCGAGTGAAATTCGTTTGAATAATCGATTCGAATTAAAAAACCGATACCGTTTGTCTGGTCGTGTAACGCTAAATCATTTCTTCGGTATCGTTTAATTTTTTTTATTTCCCCATCATTTCGGAGGTCGTGTTTTGTTCTCTTTCATAGTACAGGTATCATTCGGACGCACTGTGAGAAAAACTATGCGAGACGTCCCCGCGCCGACGCCGAGCTTTCCCGACAACGGCCGCGGTGACACACACAATGGGCTATAAAACCTAAATAGAAAAAGGAGAAAAATAAAAAAATATATATAAAAACCTTACCGAACGGGAACAACAAGCGACAGTTGGTAGTAATTCATGACTCGTGCCTTGGAAAAATGACAATTTCTTCCACGGCTGTCAGCACGAGACTCTCGCGAGCACATGCCCATTGTTGGCTCGAGGACTCATCTCTTCTCCACGGTCAATCATCCGATCAATATTTTCTGACCATCGTCGCGGTAGCAATTATTTTGATTATATATAGGACCCATCTATATAATATTATATATATATACCTGCCGGCTACCGGGCCAGGCGAAAACACTATACACGAGCGATATACGTTATTATTGTACACATACTCGTGCATAGACGACAAAATATTATATCAAATCCCGCTGCTTGCTTCTTCTCGTACGTATCTCTGTATACCTGTATACACTTTATACCGACCCAGGTGTAACGTGATAATTCCAATCTGTCAAGAGAGCGTTTCGAAATAAAAAAAACTACTTACTACCCATACAAATATACAATGCCGAAACGTTAATGTAATAATAATCATAATGGGTCGTAAACAATTTCGTGACCAGTAGGTTAGTACTGCTGTAATATACAATTTTGTCTCTCGTGACAATAATATCTAGATAATAATAACCATATTATATTAAAAACGAATTCGCTCCAACCGCGAGGAAACTCAATTTGCACTTGGAATAAACAGTTTTAGTTTAAATCGTAACATGTTTTATTCGAAAGTTTAACGATTTATTTATTTATTATGAAACTTAAAATGATTTTGTAAACTATGTTTGCCAGCCTATCACACCACATGATAAAAAGTTTATAATGGCAGTAATAATTTAATGACTTCAACAAAATAAAAACAATATCATTGTTTCGTTTCCGAAAATAATTTGATGTTAACTCTAAAAAAAAATTATAAAAATAGAATAAGTAATTATATTTTGAACGGAAAAAAATGTTTTCTGTATGGTTTTTTTATTCTTAACCAACTGTTCAAACAATCAAACTTATATTTTTATTAAAAACACTTTAGTGCTATGCAATTGCAACATCTAAACTAGAACTTGAGTCTTGAAGATTTATTTACTTTAATTATAATATTGAAATCTTGAGCCAATAATAAATAGTAAATAGCAATAATAATACGGTATTTGGACTGTCCACCTGTGTACTTAAAAGGAACTTCCATTCCCCAATATTCTCAAATAAAATATTTAGGCTTATTATTTGTTAAGCGCATTTCACTACTATCAATGAATGCACTGCCTATTATTTCTTACAAGCCTTGTAAAGGTTTAACAGTATAACATATTACATTATAATATTATTAAGTGCGGTAAAATTTACCGGGGTGGCGGCATCGTTGCTGCCGGGCGTGAACATATTTTCAAATGAATAATCATAATTATTATTATTATTAGCGGCATTATAATTTCGTATTTACAGTGTCTCAATAACCGGCAAACGAGATTATTCTGTTGACAATATTAATAATCATAATCATAATATAATATTTTCATCAAACAAACCCCGCCCGATGACAGTGTACCGTTTTAAAGCGAATTAAAATCGTCGCCGCCCTCAGGCTTGTTATGGTTTTACAAAGAGGATGAGGGAAGATTTGAGCTTGGGGAGAGTTTAAAACGCAACCCGACTGATTGCCGGGCGCGAGTTAACCTAGTTAAAGACCGAAGGCGAGGGGCGGGTTTATAAAACAGTTTTCCTCTCGTTCTTTTTATAAACATTTTTGCGGTTTCAATCAGCCACCCGCAAAATAGGGGGGTTTTGGATTTGTTAAGTACACACACACACACTCACGCTCCGTTGGTTTAAGTTAATTTGGATAACAAAGGTGCCTGCTCACCCCGCTTAAATACACACAATGTATGTATTATATATGTTTTATACTATCCATATATACATTGATGTTATATTATACACGAGCAAGCGAAAAACAAATAAAACGTAAAAAAAAAAAGTATGTGGAAAGCCTACAGATTTGGATCAACGTTTCTTGCGTCGTTATAGACAGCGGTCAATCTTACATAATAGTTGTGTATGTTAGTTCACCGGATCGAGGGTTTTCCGGTCTTAAACCCAAACGACGTGGTTACTGAAAAATATGATTTCAATAATAGGATATATAAAAAAAACCTAGTACAGAACCGACAAGCGCGACGGTTACATATTATTTTTCAATTAATTTTCTTCACCTTAACTCGATTCTACGCTTTAGATCAGCGCATATATTATGTATCAGCATACAGGCAATGATAAACGGCGGTTGCGATAATCATAAAAAACAATACTCAATACTTTTATTTTCCCTGAGTACTCATTTGAAAGTGTTCATTGTGTTAAAAACTAAAAAAACATTCGAATCCAATAAATTACTAATAGGCTAATAGCATTAATTGAATTGTACTGAATACTCTAACCTATATAACCTAACCAAACCGTACAAATGGAAAGAAACGTGTAATATTTTTGAAGGAATTGCCACAAAAATGTTGGCGAGCAATTCGAAAAACTTATCTCGCGTTATAAACGTCATATTTGTGGAATACGCATATATATATATATATATATTCCACAAGTTGGCATTTTCCCCTTGGATAAAAAGACGATAAATAATTGTTGACACCCCGAACACATGTGTGGCGGTAGTCCCTATGGGACGACTTTTCTCCGGCACGACAAGGCAATACTTCATAGTTTTTGTTGCCGGTTATAGTAGTCGGTGTGATATTAGTGCTCCTATACAATATAATAATATGAGACATGACGGTACAGCAGTTACTCGTTGGCCGTGTGACGTTTAAATAGTACCGGAACGATGGGAAATCTAATTCTATACAAAATATTAAACCATAATAATATATTGCCAAACTAAGATATTATAAACTATATATGTATTCAACCGATTCTTTTATATTTATATTAATATACAGAGCTTCCAAAGGAAAAGCAAGTTTTCATGTAAAATAATCGTGTCGCATAAAAAAGTTTCTAATAATATCATAATGATTCAAAACTTGGGAGTCTCGTTGCTTTTGCAGTCAAACGTATTTGCCATCATAACTATAATTATTTTATTATTAGAAAATCAATTGTGGACATATGTATAATATATTTTATTAATTTTGTATTATGTATTTATTATTGGACAACGAGCACATGTTTTTATTTTATAAATTCTACTTGATAGTAACACCTATCACCGTTAAAAAGGGTTGACACTGGCAGCTATCTAATTTTAAGTTATTTCGATTTCGTTTATGAGGTATATAGTACGGTGGCGGTTATCATATACATTTGTACAAAGGGGTTGTGGTATATTGTCATGATAATATTATATAAGTCTATACATGTGGACTGTATATTTTACACACACATGCCGTATAGCGAAGCAGTATAATAATAATATGTTTGTACAAAGTAAACGATCAAGTTAGCGGCTTAATGAAAGTCGATGTAGGGTAAGGCAATAGTAAAGTGTTGTACAGCCATGACGGCCGCATAGACGACGGACATGTTTACTCGGTCCGGGGATTAGGACTGGGGATTTTTTTTTTGATTAAACTGAAATGTATTTATACTTGGGGAGATGTCGTCACGAGGGAAACTATATGATTTCGCGTGCGTTTAATGAAAATATATATTATGTGAGCTTGAGCAAACACCGTGCGGGACTTCTTCTCTCTATTATTTATACACACAGTTAAACCGGGCGATTTTGATGACAGCCATTTGTATCGTTTTGTTTCAGGAACCTCAGCCCGTAACAGATCTCCTAGTACCATAGCCATGGAACTGTTCGAACAGCACCAGGGAACGCATATACTTCAAGTGAGTCTCTCTATACAACATACATAATAGCACATTATTATGGTATGTGCATACAGTTTTGTTATATTGACAATTTGTGTTTTAATTTGTTCATAGTCGTTGGATGGTTTCGCGTTTGCATTGGCTGCCGACGGTCGATTCTTATACATATCAGAAACCGTGTCTATCTACTTAGGTCTTTCTCAGGTAAGCATGTTTTACTAAACATAAAACCACTATCACTAGATAGCGAAACAACTACATTTAGATAACTGTAGACGGTATCATATGCAAAAACAAAAAACAAGCCTATACAAGTGTGTTTAAGTCTCCCATTCCCTTTTCCTTGTCATTATTTGTTCTTTGGAAAATGTTAATAATACATCCGCCAAAACACTTAACGCCGTACTATAAACATGCATATATTAATAGTTAATCAGCTTTAATTTAAACTTAAACGGCGGTCTGATATTATTGCATAACTAATTGCAAAGAAATAAGTTAGTTAGTGGTGGTTTTACAAACGAATGGTCGGACGTCCTAATTGAAATATCAAATATTTTAACAACATTGCTCTTAGTCGACCACTCGACAACGGTACGGCCGTAACATAGTATACTGATTTAATAGATGAACCTATTATAGTTTTAATTCTATACAACATTTTGAGAGGATATCACACACATATTTTTTAGGCATACGGGATAGGGAATTTTTGAAAGACCTACAGTTTAAACTTTAAAAAGGCTTAAGCCTTTCGCTGTATCAGTTCTATACTAAGCATAATAGCGAGAGTGCTTTGTATAAAGACAATTTGTTTATTCGGAGTGACAGAGTATAGCAGGTCACGTTTAAAATAGTTTTATACAAAAAAACTATATAGTGAAAATCCAGACTGAAAATAGTACATTTCAAAATTAAAGAACTTCAACTTAAGCGTATCAAATATATTTTCAATACATAGACAATTTTTGCCATAGTTTCTTTTTGTATTTTAAAACCAAAAATAGATTTGATAAAAACGCCTTTAAGGGAATTTAAATCGAGGTCAATGGTATTTACTTTGATTTTAAAATGTTTTTAGAACATGTTTTCTGTACATTATTATTTATTATAAATCCAGTTATCCAAATGATTGTGGGTTGCTATAAACTATATTTAATACTTTGTAAGTAAGAAGGCCAAATTAAGTGTTACAATATACAAGTCATCGGATCCGACTGGTTATTTCATCAAACCATAATTAACATTATTAATATATAGCTTTACCGGGCAAGTTTTTTAGTTACCGCGGTTCAGGAGGTTTTCTCCTTTTGGGGGTTTGCCTAGAAATTAAGACGAGGTGTTTTATGGTGTGAAGGTAGGTAGGTAGATACGGCCAATCGGTAAAAGTCGACGGCCTGTCTACTGAAATCAATTCCCCCCCCCATCTCCCTCCCCTCCATTTACCTCCCCGAGTACGTACGGCCACGTTGATGCGTGCGGACCACATCAAAAAGCGCAAAACCCCGGGTCTCCCCCCGGTGTCGGCCTTTGCAACAGCAGCGGCACCACCAACATAGCTATTGATTGTGTCGGTGGCAACGGCGGCGGGCGACTATCCGCGTCCGGAATTACGAATGAGGAACACGCTCGCACGGCTCAAGTGTACGTGAGTCGAATTCGAGTCTGAGGTGCCGGCACCGGAACCCGCCCGCTCGGCCTTAAAAACCCGTCAAGCTCTCCCCGTACGACCTTTCTCTCTGGATGCCAACCATGGGGGGGTTGGGGATAACCGTGCGCAGCACCCCCGCGTATACGGTCTAAATTAACGGTATTCGGGGGGGGGGGGGGGTTGGAGTGTAACAATGATGGACGATGCGAATTGAGGTTTTTTTTTCTTATTTTATTCCTCTCTCTCTCTCTCTTTCTCGTACGCACACACACACAGGTTTATAATTTATCCCTTCCCCTTTCCCACTGTACACCCGCAGTTCAATCTACAACTAGCCGCACTGTCCGCAATACCCGTGTGCCGGACAAACGTATACCTATTATAATACTATATTTGATTTGTCGGGGTTTTTTGTTTTACAGGTGGAAATGACCGGAAGCAGCGTATTCGACTACATCCACCAGGCGGACCATTCCGAATTAGCCGAACAACTGGGACTCGGTCTTAGCCAAGGCCAAGGAATGGCATCGCCGTCGCCGAGCAGCGCCGGTTCCGAAGAAGGAAACTCTAACGTGGGCACGGCCAACCCCGACGGTAAGCGATTTCTCACTACGTACAGCCCTCAAGCGCCGCCGCCGTTGTGGTGGTGCAGTTGTTATGCGTTTCACGTGATTAGCCACAAGGCTCTCACCCTTGGTGTTTTTTTATTAATGCCTCGTCACGCCGTACGAAACACTGAAATCCAATCCGATTTATGACCAAAAAACCCAAGAAAAACATCCAAGTCGGGGAGAAAATTAGTTTGGTCCTTTTTTTAGTGCGACCAGCACCGCTAGAGCGTATCGGAGTTATTTTATATGTATATATATATATTTATTATATACTATATCTAAAGAACTCTGCAGGAAGCTATGGCTTACTGTGCTGTCGCGGATCTCCATGTATTGTAAATATTATAGCGTTGCTCGAAGGGCCGTTATCCCTTTACTTCCGTGTACATTGCATTCGACTGCATGCACAGAAAATAGAAAATTATTGTATTGAAAAAATGTTTAAGCAAAACATTTCAGTTTTTTACTTCAGTTGTATAATTCTAACCAAAACACATTTCTAATAGAATATTTCCATTTAATGTTTTAACAATATTTTTAAATTTATTTTTGAAATATTTAACCTCGAATCAAAAACTAATTTTAGATTGTTAAAAATCATATATATGTACAATACTTGTAATCTGTATGGGATAATTATATGCGAACACAGTAGGTACATACTACGTATGTTGCGATAATCAGCGCTTATATGTTTTTCAACCGCCTTTAGGCTAAATAGCTATATATTAACGCCTTAGGCGGAGCTCGAAGCGGTCTTGAGGAGACTATAATATATCATAAAACACCAGTGTTCAAAAAAAAAAAAAAATGGAAAAATCATTTATGGAAGCTAAACCGCATTTATCCCAACCTTTTTTGCGTAACAGCAAGTTGTTTCCTACGAAAATCCATTTTTTTCCACTTACCGGCCATCGGCTTATTCTATATATTTGTACGAAGCCAGCGAGTGGATGCTATAATATATCCAGTGGGCGTGTAGGGAATCATGGATCATTGGTTTGGCCGCAGACGGTCGTGACTGTACGCGATTATCGCGCGGACACACCATTCATTGAAATAGGATGGATCCCATGGCAATAAACATAAAAGGTATCTGGTACCTCTATCACCTATGTACAGTGTTATGGCGAGTAAGCCCACTTTAAACGCATCACGTCCGACACAAATGAAAAGTAATAATTAAACGATTAAAAAGTATAAACCATTGCTTTTTTGCTTTTTACTATTATTATCTATTTCGAGGATTACTATATTACCTATATAAATTGAATTAATATGAATAGCCTTGCGTTTTTTGATTTTGCTTACAGTGTCTTCGGTGATGTCGTTGTCCAGCTCGAACGCGTACAAGGGCCTGGATAGGGCGTTTTGCATCAGGATGAAGTCGACGCTGACCAAACGCGGTTGTCATTTCAAGTCGTCCGGATATAGGGTGAGCATCACTGATACGTCCAAGCACTATATTGAGTGTTCCGTCTAGCGAGTTCTGGGGCTTACACATACATATACCTATATATATATATAACACACACATTGGGTTTTTCTCCCGTTTTAACGAATGCGACCGTACTTCATAATAATATACTTGGGGTGGTTGCCGCGTAATTTCCAACTCGAAATCCAAGAAAGGGTTCGCCATAATTGTGTGATCTCATGTCTAAAACAACCGCGAGCGAGTGCGTCATCCGTCGCGCACGACGTTTAATATAGTATATAATAATCACAACAGGATCGAGTTCAAATACCAACACTCCAAGTCCCTTTCCCATATAATTTTAACCCTTTTTTTCTATTTTATTGCGACAATAGTGTCTGTCGAAACTGGAAACATGCTAATAATAGTTGCCTAACGCCCCTGCAATGACAAGCAACGCGATATTCCCAACGGTCGTATCTCCGAGTTCCTAAGAACGAGATCAAGTGATGTATCGCTAGAACTTAAAACTACAAGTGGGCTCGTATAGTCCTAGTCAAGTGGGTCATGTGGTAACGCTAAACAAACGGGGTAGTTGCAATTTTCAAACAAAATTATTTAGGCATTTTAACTGAAAACTTTTAATTATAAGCAATTTGAATAAAACACAAATTAAAATAGGGTCTCTACTCTCTAGTTTACGCTATTATTCGACTTATGGAGCAATTTAGTTAATTGATTTTATCTGTCTCCAATATTTACAATTGAACCTTTTAATATTGTCATACTCGAGTCTTGCCTTTTAAACAACTCTACAATAACTTTTGATTTTTATACACAATTAGTAAAATACATGTTGTTCAGATTTGCACCTGTAATAAGTCTTAGAGAAAACGCGATTGCCATGGCCCATGTCCATCTCGTTGTTACTTATCCGCCGACTTGATGTGTATTTCTTTATTACCTAATATATGTTTTATACGTATTGCAAACATTTGAGAATTTTAAGATGCGCTTGTAAGTCGATAATAAAACGAAACTCAACCGTGCGCTATGCGATACAATATTAGAGGTAATGTAAAATTTATAATTATATAATTTGAGTACAACTATAAATTTCGATAAGAAAAGTAAACGGTCGGTCAGTGACATGATAAAGAGGAAAAATTAGAGGTTCCTATATATATATACGTGTGTATAGTGATTGTGCGTGTACAGAGACGGTTGATTGAAAAGAAAACATTGACCGACGTCTGAACCCCAAACGAGAACGCGATGATTCACAGAAACTGCAACTCCGGAAATTAGCTCTCTTGTTCTCTCATAAATGTGGCATGAAAATAAATTTATTGGACTCCACCCCCGTAATCTAATTGTAACTCGTTTATATTTTCGACCTGGCTCGATATGTACCGAATACATACATAATAAATAATAACAATACAAACGCGGTGAAAACGAAACAGAAGTGTAACATACCTATTTCTAAAACCTCAATAGTGGGTTTGATAAAGAACAATAATAATTTGCTTACATTGTCGGTCAGTCACCGAAAAACAAAAGAAAACCCAAGTCGGTTCATACGCAATGCGTGTAAGCGGTCACATCATGACCGACGGTACGTGTCCCGTAACGTCTTATAAATGTCCCATAACGTTTAGCCATATTCATGTACAAATATATACCTCATATACATGCATATGACGTATATTCTGTGTCCACAAAATCGACCACAGGTGACAGTTGTGCAAGCATGTGTGGCGACAACTCACAACAACCAAGAGAAAGCTATACACAGTTACAGTATCTGGGGTACCGTACCGGTTAATATTATAACACCTATAACATTACCTACATAATGTTATAATACAATGATAATTATAACAATAATGCAGAATTCATAATAGCTCCTATACATTATTATTTACACGCTTATAGTATGTATGTTATTGCTGGGAATAGAAATCTATAAGGAAGTCATTCGAAGAGACCCGAATAAGAGTCTACCTCAATAGGTAGAATAATATTATAAGATATAGCTAAGTCGATAAGTGTAAAATTGTTTGTAAAATCATTACAATATTATATCTATCAATCTGCGGCTTGGGTCAATTTTACTTAGTGACAAGCGTGAGTTAGCTGTTAGACAACTATATTGACATGTAAATTACAATATTATCCTTAACATTGTTTGAAAAAATTGCACTCTTTTAAAAAAAAAATTTGAGATTGGCCTAAGTTGCGGTGTGTGTAAAAACTAAAATATATAACTATTTATAAATGAATACATATGTGTATGAAATCTATACAGTTTCGGTGGATCTATACACAAGCGACAACCGTTTTACAAAAACAACCGTGAATAATCTCACTATATTATAAGTGTCGGGGTCCCCACAAATCAATCCGAAACAATATCTACAGTCGATGGATTTTTTCCCCCGCCTAATCATATTTAATGTCTTCGACGGAACATCTGGATTTTAAGTGTGAACGATTCGGATTTTCTGGACCAACGAGTCTTAAATACGCTACGGATAGTTTTCCACTCGAGACAATCTTTTAATGAGCCTAATTAATTAAGTGTCCGTAAGCGGTTTTACCGATACGCGTTTATCTGTCGGTCGCCTTGTCTTATTCCTATATAGATGTATAGTATCTTTGTTCCGATTAGGCGTTGAATGAACACAATGGAAATGAGTTCGGACGCGTTTCATTCAAAATATTATATTATATAATATCGTAAAATAATATAACATTATGCAGGCAACCTATGCATCGAGTTTTCCGGAGAGGCCAGAAGAGCCCTAAGAAAATAATTAGATATTCGCTCCGCATATAGAACTCTATGTACGGTTTTATGGTTTTATATAGGTATTATGTAGTTTTTTTTATAAACAAAAAAAGTACACACACACACACACACATGTCAAATGACCAGGAGTAGACGAACGAAATTGAATGGGGACAGACAGAAATATAGTATAAATATTGTACAAGCGACGGCTGCAGAGGATTATGACCGTCGCCGGGATGTACAAATCATATCCGACAAATCGTGATGAGTTTACGTGAAGAGAAGAACGCACCTCTGGTGCCGGGAGGAGGTTGTTCTTTTTTATGTCAATTACGTGGTAGAACTCTTGATGTCGCGTTAACCGTCGTGTCTTTCACACGCCTGCGCAACCGCAGTGGTAATTTATTACAATAATAATAATAATAATAAAATGATAACGCAGCGCATGTTATAATAATATGTAGACATAAGTGTATGTACCTAGGTAATCTACACGCACAAAACGACAATATCGCGCGCCATATTTAGAGGCACGACGATGTTGGTCTATGATATACATATATAACATGCATATAATATGCATGCACCTAACTTGTTTGTATGGCTTTTATTATTGAAATTGCGCTTTGTCCGTCTACAGGTGGTGTTGTTGGTGTGCAGACTCAGGCCGCAGTACACGTTCTCCCACAACCGCAAATGTGCGCCTCCTCTGCTGGGCGCCGTGTCCCTGGCCATAGCCCTACCGCCGCCGAGCGTGCACGAGATCCGATTGGAGACCGACATGTTCGTCACCAGACTGTATTTTGATCTCCGAATAGCTCATTGCGAACCCAGGTACAATAATAATATGATATCATACAAAATGGTCTAAAACCTAATACCGACTTTCTTCCTGTACAAGGGGGCAAACTTGGATTGTTGAATTTAACAGGGCAAATACCGCGCATAATGATGTCACGTCCAAATGAGCCTATTAGAAATTTCTATTATCGACTAAAGGGCCCAATCTTTAAATTTACTGCGGTAGTCGCGATAACATACAAGCACCAATGGTGTTTTTACCTGTATAACCATCATAGGCGGAGATCCTATTTAATATATTTAGGGGGGCTTAAATTATAGGTATAGCAAACAGACCCGCTGGGGCTTCGCTCCCACACCCCCTGACAACAAGAAATTTAATTACACAATTACTATAACAATATTATAAATTTATTATCCTATTACATTTTGTAGCAAATGTATTTAAAATATTTTCACAGTTTAATGCTTTAGTGATATCCTTTTCTATACATAAAATTGAAAGTTCATTAAATCGGGTTTACTCCTTAGATGTTCTTAAATATTGCAGAAAAACTCCTCTCAAATGTAGCAGAGCTAAAAGGAATTGTTAAAGCAATTTGGAGCATTTTATCAAAATTAGGAAACACTTGAGGTGTAATATTCTTTTTTAAATCTTCAATATCTTATTTTTTATTGTACAATGCTGTGAAATTTTTCTTTAATTAACAAAGGAAATAATTAATTTTTGGGGGGGCTTTAGCGAGAGTGCTTTGTATAAAGACAATTTGTTTATTCGGAGTGACAGAGTATAGCAGGTCACGTTTAAAATAGTTTTATACAAAAAAACTATATAGTGAAAATCCAGACTGAAAATAGTACATTTCAAAATTAAAGAACTTCAACTTAAGCGTATCAAATATATTTTCAATACATAGACAATTTTTGCCATAGTTTCTTTTTGTATTTTAAAACCAAAAATAGATTTGATAAAAACGCCTTTAAGGGAATTTAAATCGAGGTCAATGGTATTTACTTTGATTTTAAAATGTTTTTAGAACATGGTTTCTGTACATTATTATTTATTATAAATCCAGTTATCCAAATGATTGTGGGTTGCTATAAACTATATTTAATACTTTGTAAGTAAGAAGGCCAAATTAAGTGTTACAATATACAAGTCCTGTACAAGTACAATGCTGTGAAATTTTTCTTTAATTAACAAAGGAAATAATTAATTTTTGGGGGAGCTTTAGCTACAAATTAATTATTTGGGGGTAGGAGGGCTAAGCCCCCGTAAGCCCCCTCGATCTCCGCCAATGATAACCATATCTAAATAATTATAGACATTTTGATTTTTAATTAAATTTAGCAATTATTGAGTTATTTAAGCTTGTACCAAACTTTTCCAAAAGCAAGTTATAGTCATAATGACGGAATCGATTTACGTGCAACATTTTACATTTACGACACTAAGAAATTAGAAAATATACCAACACTATAAGTCGATAATTTTTTATTATGAAAAAATACGTTCCCATCTGTTTTGACCACACCAACTAGTACCTAGCTATTTCAAAATAATCAAACATTTGAAATGTTAATTAAAAATATAGAATTGCAAACAAAACGAAATGCATATACCTATAAGCTTTTAAGTAAATTTTTGGTTATTTTTATGTCAAAAACATTTTCTCTTGCATTTGTATGACGATCGCTATTTGTGTAACGCCGGTTTGACATTGAGCTAAATTTAGTTTATTTTGAATAGGTTTATACATATATAGTAGGAATATAATATTGAAATTGTTTAATTTTTGTGTGGACAGGGTAGCGGAAATACTTGATTACACGGCGGACGAACTGACCGGCATGAACTTGTACACCCTGTGTCACGGCGAGGACGTGAGCAAACTTAGAAAATGTCACCTAGACCGTAAGTATACATAATATAATATTATTACTTTTATTTACTCTAGCCGGAGACCTCATCGTTAGTAGTGCAGAGAGTATAATAATATGGTGGCCATTATTACAGGCGCGCGATCGGGAGCTGATATTATAAATTATAATATATTATGTTTAGAGGCGCATAAAGTATGCGGGTTGGGTACTCGGGTGTATACATAGGTATATAATAATATATTATATTCCTTAATCGTAAGTGTGTGTGTGTTTTTAAATGGCGGTCGACTGTACCTATTTATTTATTTAGGTATATATAAAACGATTATATTATTATTTTCGTCAACAATGTACATCCTACCTACTTGTATGCGGTACCATATAATTGAGTTAAATGACAACCGGAAGGGGTAATCAGCATTCAGGTCGCCGACGCTTTTTGTTTCTTTTTTTTTTTTTTTATTACTATTTTTCTTGTCGCAGTTAAACCGTCAACGACTGCTGTTGTTGGTGGACGATAATGCGCGTCTAATGGGCAAACGGTTAACAGGAGGACGGCAAGGGCGGAGCTTCCGGTGCGATACCTGTCCGGCATACACGATGGTTATGATGAAGTGATTGTGTGATGTGCCTAATATGCTCACGTCGTGTGATAAATCTTTAGGGAGGGATCGCAGCTGTGTGTAGGCAGTAGAAAATGTATTATTACAGATTATATTACTGCATAGGACTTCTATTTGGGGCTTGGGGGCTTCTACCACAAGCTTCTAAGACAATGATTAACTACTACAGCGGTCACTGGCCATTATATGTACCTACCTATATTAACCACTATGACATACATTTGACGCTACGACCAGAGAAGCGCAAAATAAATAGGCTAGTCAGTATTTGTGGGGAGCATGCGACAGACTTATGACACATCGATATCGTATCGAGGACTTAAGGGAGATGCTCGATTCATACCTACCTATTAAGTTTTGCTAAGTCTATACACTATAGACTATAGTGTATAAGTTAAAATTGACTCGCACTGTACAATGTAGGTACACGGCCATGTACATGTCTTAGGTATATTAGTTTTTTTATTTACTATATGTTCGATATTGAAACAATAAAATGACGTTTTCGTTTTTCAGTTATCAACAAAGGTCAAATGATGACCCATTACTATAGGGTGATGAACAAGAACGGAGGGTACACTTGGATGCAGACTTGCGGCACGGTGGTTTGCAACTCGAAAAACGCCGAAGAACAAAATATTATTTGTGTAAACTACGTGGTCAGGTAATAAAGTGTTCTTTTTTTAGATATTTTATCCCCACGCGCTGCAATTAGGCGTGTCTCCTCGTTATGTATTCACAACGCTTGCTGCCGTCCCGGTTTTATATAAATAAATGAAATAAAAATTAAACAAAAAAAAAAATAAAATTCTAAATTTTATAATATATACGAGACGTACTTGTGCGCAGAATATTGATGTGGTGTATTTTTTTTTTTCCAGCGCCCGAGAATATGACAATTTGATAATGGACTGTTGCCAGATGGAAGAACACATCAGGCAAAGAGCGGTTAAGAGAGAAGAAACCGGCGGCAACGACCCGGAAAACGGTTCGCCGGGCGGTGACGGTGGCGGTAAGTACAGCTATATTGTCTATTACAACTGCTGTGGTCTCTGTTCTCCAATAAATGTATCATTAATTATTATATAAAAGTTTAAACTTCAAAGTATCTATAGCAAAATATAGGTACCTGTGTTGCGACCGCTTGGAATAGATAAATACCTAATCGAAATATAGCATTTACTGGGATTGTCATTGTTTAGAAGGGGCGGCTTCTGGTGTACTGTTTGTTTTGGAAAATTTAGATGGATGTCTCATTCCCCCGCTATTTAGGTGTGACTCCCAAATTTTCTTCTCATTCTAAAACCATCACGCGTGGACATAATATGCTTTTCAAGATTCTCGTTCTCAGTTCTTTTTTTACCAAGCCTATTACACGTCTTGTCTACGTAAGAGCATCAATTATATCAATTATATTATTATGATATCATATTCACCATTTACCCTCCCCTGTGTTTCACTCCATACATTTGATTTATTAGTTAGTAATGACTAATGCGATGAATATAGAATTAATATAATATTATTAAAACAAACAAACCATAATGTAAATAATAATTGTTTTATTTGCTATAGACGGTCGAGGTGGCAATCCTAGAAGAGATCACCTGACACCCGCCGATTTGGACGACGGGCCATCGGCCGATGGCCATGGAGATCCAACTCGTGGACGGAACCACGTGGACATCACCCAATTAAACAGCGGGCCGCCGGAACGCCTGCAAGTAAGTGTCTGCCGAACTGTAAAGACGATTTTAGTGTCTAGTAGTATAGATACCGTCCGCTATAACATCCGCTGATATTTTTTGCAGATAAACAACGTCGGTATTAACTTACTGCCGAAAAAAGGGGACAAACGGAGGGCACACAAAAGGAAAATAACCGAACTTATGTCCCGGGACGAGGACAACAGCTGCTGTAGCAGTTCCGAAGAAGACACTGTGGCCAGAAAACACTTTTCCAGCCTGAGTCCGGCTTCGTCGTCGTGCCAGTCCACTTTGCCGCCCAGTTCACCGAAAACTATCGGCGGCGATAAACGGGGAGGCGTTGGCGATCCAAACGCCGTCAAGGAACTGGAACACGCCATGTCCAAGCACCTACCGTCGTCCGCTGCCGACAAGACGCCGTCGGCCGTCCACCAGCCGACGGACTTTAGCACAGACGCGTTGCTCAAGCAACAGCAGCAAAAAAGTACCATTCAGTGGATCGGTGCCCACCACCTGGGCCACCAGCATCACACACATCACCCCAACGGGCCTTCGCATCATCCGTCTCACAATCAACACCACGGCACGTTGCCCGCGTCCGCACTTCTTCGACAAATCTACGCCAACCGCGAATCTGTAATCAGGGCCAACGTGCACGCGCCTAGATCGCCGGGCGGCGGCGGTGGGACGGCCGTCTACTACCCCGGCGAGATGAACACGTTGCCGACGCCGCCGGGCAGCGAGGGCGGTTACGGCGAGCAGCAGTTCATGCCTCAAAAGCCGAGCGGCGACTTCAACGGACTGGTACCGCCGCCGTACAACTACGCCGACTATCATTCCGCGATGACTCCCCCGTCTTCCGTGTCACCGCGGGACAAGCAGCAGCCGCTCAACGCTTACGACGCGTACGCTCCGACGGCCGACGTACTCCGACAACAGTACGGACATCACGCAGAGGTGACGTCGTCGCTGCCGCTTAAGCCACAACCTTACAACCCCGGACCCGTGCTCGACCACTATGACCAGTCAGCGCAATTCTATCATTCGGCCGCCGGGTTCCATCTTTACCATCCGTCGTCAGCTGGTAAAACGGCTGCCGGTGGCCCACCTCCTCCTCCGCCACCACCAGCAGTATACTTGGACCCGTTAAAAAATCCACACAACTGGTACCCGACGCCTTCATAACGACGATAATGCAACAGCACAGCAATAAATATAATATGATACCAAACCTTATTTATGTTATTTAATAAAATATATTATACCTAATATTGTACCTCAATGTATAGGTAATATAATGGTAAACAAATTGGGTAATTTTTTTTTTTTTAAATCATTTTGAGACTGTATTACTGTCGTTAATAAATAATATAGTCTTTTTCATTTTATCTTTAGTTTCTAATTTATGATTATTATAAATTAACTAACCTTAAATAACTATAGGTATGTTTGTATTAGCTTACCAAAGGATACGTTTTAAAAAGAAACTGTAAATTTAAGATTAATGTGTACTAACAATTTCCAATCGTAACCAAAGATTAAGTTCAATAGTGTAAGCCATTACCTGCACAACTCATACGGTAGGTAATTTGAAGTGAGAAAATGGAAATAGTTATTTATAGTATAAATTTTAACTTTCATAATTCATACCTATGCATTTAATTCATTTAAATAAAAATTATTATTTTTTCATCCCCACTAATAGTTTGTTTCAATAGAAGTAAGCACATGTATTATACATTTACTTAAGTCTTCTAAAAAAAAGTATCATTTAAGTTAAAAAAAAATGTATAATATTTCAAATTGAGTAAATTACCGAACCGCCTATTAATTTAACTTCTTCTTTTGGCTTTCTAAATAACTAATTTATATTAAATATTATTAATTATATATTTATATTTGAATATTTTTTACTCGAGACTACATGGAACATACAATTAAACATACGTATTATAATATTCATAGATGAATTTTTGTTTATAAATGTCCAACTATCATTTTGTTATCTTTAATATTATTGTTTAAATAATAGTTTTCATTGTGAACCTTTATTTAAAGTATTAGTAAGTAATTGTTTTTAGTGTATGATTATACTATACTACGATCTAGTAAAACAAATTAGTAGTTAAACATAAAATATTTATAATCCTTTGAATCATACATACATAATGAATATCATATCAAACTTTATTTTAAATTAATTATATATGTGTAATTTTAGATTTGCATTTTTCATGATTAAAAGACTACTAAACATTATGTTAATGATGTCTGAAACTATTATTTGTAAAAGTTATGTACTATAATTATTTCCATTATATAATATTCTATGTACTCATGAAAAATCTCAAAACGTATTTTGGCATTGTTTTTAGTTAATTTTTTTTTATATATTATGATTATTTTACGTTGGCTCAATTAATTTGTAAATAATGTAATTTTTTTAAAACTATATATAAATTAGTATTGTACAGTATACACAATTTTAAACTATTATTATTATTATTATTATTATTAATAAAGGTAATACTGTTAGTTAGGTTAACTGAAATGTGCAATAGCCACACATGCGTTTATAACAGTGATAATATAATTCCTTGTTTGTAAATTAAAAAATATAACAAAAACAAAATATAAGTTGTTCATTATAATTTTTTTTTCATGTATATCTTCTTCGAAGGACTTATAATGACAGGTAACTTTTGTACAGATGAAAAACTGCCATAAATGGACACTGGTGGACACCTCACATAGCCAAGCTTGGAATAAAAATCTTCTTTATCTTTAGTAGACAAGTACACCGTATTTATTCCCAACCTATTGAAAGAACAAAATAAAAATTACTTATGTTCGTGGACATTTAACAATTTATTTCAGTCTTTACGTTTTTATGTATTCCTCGGTTTTATACATTAAAAATTTGCCAAGGCCTTTTCCACGATATCTGTGGTCAATAACAACTATAAAATATAATGGCTCAATTACAGACATTTATCATTAAATAATAAATAGATGCTTACATTGTTAAATAAATTCATTTAAAAATTTTATTATCATTACAAATTACAAGTATAGAAAATATAAAATTCTACAAAATGAACATTTTAAATTTTAAGTTTTTCTTTGGAAGTTTAAACATTTTGTTTTACCCATATCATGTTTTTTGTATTAATAAAATCTATAATATTATGATAAATGTAGGCAATAAAATAAATGTGATCATTTCAGGATACATTTCATTTGCTTTATGATGAGCAGTATATTTTGTATGCACTCTAAAATGCTAAAATATTAACAGTAATTATTCAAAATTGGTTAGGTTTTAATAGGTTATTTATTGTGATTATAATTAATTCAATTATATTCTGATTACAAATTAAAACATTTATTTTGAAAATATTAGTTTTCTTTCACTTTACATTGAACACAATTGACACGTAAAGAAATAATGGTTAACTTACCACTTTCAACAAAGCAACTGCCTAGCATTGATGGTATCGGAGTAATTTTCGAATGTCCTATTACAGCCTTATTTCCGTTATTTTCAAGTTTTTTTACTAGCACAAGTGATGTTGGTAACGTGTCACATGAAGCCTCCAAGCTATGAAGTCTTTAATAAATAGATAAGTAATACAATTATTGTTAAACCAAATTTTCTATTTTTATATAAATAATAGTTAATACCTGGCAGTTTCACTACGAGGCCATTCAGAATTGATTACAGCACAACAATCTTTAATGAAATGTTTATTTCTATGAAGTTGCAATACTCCAAATTCTTCCATGTCTCATTTTTAAGTACTTAAAGTAAAATCAATCACAATTTATACTTCTAAAAAAAAACATACAGTTGTAATTTAATTTAAAAAAAATTAAAAATTATCAGAGACGCAATTAGCCAAAATTTGTTTGGACGTCTAAAGTTTCCAGTCATATAGATAACAATAAAAAAAAACACTGAAACAATGTTAATCATGGTTGTTGACACTTTTTTGAGGTGTAAATAATTTTTTAAGAGTATAAAAGCCTCAAGGCTCGTCCTTTTTTATTATTTGCTCTGTAAATTGGATAGTATAATAGTATATTATATAAAAATAAATTTACATAATATTATATATTACACAAAAGTGATAAAGATGTGGTTTTTTAATTTAAATTGTGTTTATATAATACTGAAATAAAACCACTTTGATGTGTCTACATAAAACTATAAAAAAAAACTGTTTAAATACAGATATAATTTTTTTTTTTTTGAAAACTGATGGTTATAGACTAGAATTAATTAGAACTTTAAAGTGAGGCTGTGCTATTGGTTTTATAACATTTTAGTATTGAAAAAAAAAAATTATGTCTAGATGACAATAGCAAAAGTCAAAATGTATCATAGTTAATTATATACAGTGACCAAGGTAGGCAGTAGAGGAGTTTTCTTTTTTATTACGTAAATTCTCAAACTTTACTAGGTACTGAATTAAAAAACTGACTATTACAAATAAACTGTCATCAAACAAGTTATAGGTCTAAAAAGTGGACTTAAATTAGATCTACTCAAGAAAGAAAATATTTTGAAAATTATAATACTCTAGTTTTTAATGATTTTAAAAATATTAAACATTCTATAAGTCTTAATAATAAAAATAGATATTCTAGTATACTGTAAAATAAATGTACAAAAGTAAAAAAAAAATTGTGTTTTCAATAATAATAAAATTGTAGCTTACATTTCAGTGTTCAATAAAACAGCGCTATCTATTTGTCTAAATAAGAATAAACTATTATTGATTTTATAATGCAATTTTCTTGCAAATCCTTAGAAACCCTATCGCTATGTTATCAAAAGTTAATAAATAAGAAAAATAAGAAAATTATACATCAGGATTAAAGCAACTATAGGTAATAAAAATGAAACTCGAAAATTTATTGGATAGTCACCGCTTTATTAGTGAACCAACCGACACGATGGACAACCATATGTTTTGGATTTTTGGTTATGGATCCTTAATTTGGAAAGCAAACTTTCCTTTTATTAAAAAATATTCTGGGTACATAAAAGGATACACTAGGCGCTTTTATCAATATAGCCCTGATCACAGAGGCACTCATGAATTTGTATGTTATAAACTATATGTATATAAAAATAATATGTCCTTTATGTTAAAACTAAACAGTATAAAAATAATTTTCAGCCTGGAAGAGTAGTTACACTCATACCATCAACTGATGAGGTTAGTACCAATAAACCATAAGATTGTTTGTTAAATGAATGCTTTGCTTAATATTTTTACAGAGTTGTGTATGGGGTATAGCTTATGCAATTGATGATCGTGAAATAAATCAAGTATGTGCGAGCTTAGACTTCCGTGAACGTTCAGGGTATACTAAGAAAGTGATACAGTTTTTTACTAATTCACCCGATGATGAAGCTCCAAAAAAAGTTACTATCTACATAGCTGATGAAAATAATGAATGGTATGCTGGAGAAGCTCCTATTCAGCAAATTGCATCAAGAATAATAATGTGCCATGGAACTAGCGGTCCAAATCCTGATTATGTGTATAAGTTAGCATCAGAAATGAGGCGAATAGCTCCTGATGAAGATGACAAACATTTATTTGAACTTGAAGCTGCGTTAAAATTAATTGACTGTAAAAATAAATAATTAAAATCATATTTTGTTAAAGTAATTTAATAGTTGAGAAATTATAAATGTTTTATCTATTATTTACAAAATACGCGTTTGATTTTAAATAATATTTTATAGAAAGGTGTATTTTACAAAACAAAAAGGTGTTGAAATTAGAAATTGTTTTATTTGTTTATTTTTACTAAAATGTAAGCCAAGAGATATATTATTATTCAATAAAATTATTACTATACTGTCATTAAAAACTATCATAACCAACGTTTTCTGATTTTGCAGTTATTATAAGATTCTAAAATACCTACCTATTGGTTTGATCCTGGAATTCTTTGAAGTTTATCATTTTTTACATAGGTTTTAAAGATTTGGTTCCAATAGAGGAACATTTAAAAAAATGTTATTTTTTAAAATGTTTTCAGTATACTGATAATTAGATCGTAATTAACTTTTACAATTTACAGCAATACTCAATTATATTTTTACCAATATCGTGATTTACAGAAATTACTACAAATTTGTAATTTATAATTTATTGTAAAAAACCTACATATCTAGTACGATGTAGAGATGATAAGGTGACGCCATTCCAACCAAATCAGTGGGTCAAGAAATTACGGCATTTTAGTAGTACAATTTTGTCACGTAGATAGCGCCACTATTCGCCCGGAGGCCGACTTTTATATGGAACCAATAGGGTTTTTTACATATTATTATATGTTACTGTCATTTTTATTGCTAAATAAAAATATATTACATCGAATTTAAGTTTAATACAAAATTTCACCTAATGAAAAACCGTTAACAGACAAGCAGTGGATGGATAAATTAAAAGCCTAAGTAGCCATCCATGATTATTTGTCGTTAAAACAAATTGTATCTGCCAAGAAAAACAAAATAAACGATTGCCATTTGCCTCAACCCAACCAGTAAAAAGAAGGTAAAAACTGAAAACAGCCCTTCCACTACACAATTGTTCAATGAAAGTGTTGTTAAAGAACTCGAGGAAGAGGAACACATTGATGTCGAAGATAGCGAAGAACCAAAAAAGAAAGAGGAAGAAGAAGAAGTAAAAGATATCGATGATGAGTTGGGAAGTGATTTTTACCAAAAAGAGTATTGACAATAAATTGTTGCCTCGGATAGACAGGCATTTATTGCTATGTGAATTTTACATGAAAAATCAATTTTTATGTTCTGGTGTTGGATATTTTGTATAATGATAGTATTTACAATTATTATTAATTTATAAACGACATGTTAATTTTAGTTAGGTTTAATATTACGCCTTTAATAAGTATAATACAGACTAGTGGTGGGACTATTCGAAAAAAAACAATTCGAATATTCGAATACTTTTTTCGCACGAATATTCGAATTTTTTATTCTATCTATTTTTAATAATTTATTACAAAATAAATATAATTATAATGAATTATTCTTAAAAAGTATAGTTAACCTAACTAAATGTTTAGTATGTTAATCCAACTACTCGTAAACAACTAAATTAGTTTCTAACTAAAATGATATTGTAGGCGCAGCCATATTATAGTAGATCAAACAAGAATATTTCCAAACATTTACTATAACCAAATTATTTTTTTCCGTGTAAAAAAACATAACTAAAAAATCTCTTAGATTAAGAAGTTTTTTTTAGTTTTTTATGCGAAAATTCGAATATTCGAATTATTTATTACTATTCGAATTATTCGAATATTCGAATTATTTTCATACGAAGAGTTTTATTCGATTATTCGAATAATTCGAATAATAGAAAAATTCGATTCGAGGTCTTAGCTCTAATACAGACCTATATAAGTCCTGAAATCTGATAACATTTTTGACATAACAATTTAATTGTTAAATACTTTTTTTTATTTAATTCTTATAAGTTATATAAAGTATTTGGGATTCCATATAAATGAGTCCTATTTACTTATTAACTCAACATCTGAAAAAAATCTTATATTATTTTTACAGTATATAATAAATTGATGCATGTTTGAAAATAGGGTCCGGTGAGTGGTGATATGAGATATGTACGTCAAAATCTTTCAAGTAGGCTTCTCTAATCATATCGTGGCCTTAATAAAACTATCCGTCCCTCTAAACTATACTTCTAAAATTGCATTAAAAAAAATGTAAAACCACATTCCTAAATCCTAATAATTATAGAAATAATATACATATGATTTAAGATTAAAAACATAGTTAATTTTTGTTCACTAATTAAGGCGTTGCGTCGTCTGCACCAGTGTAATGTCAAAAAAAGTAACAATGACCTATCATATTATTTAAAAATATTTCCAAACCATTTTCATTAATATTCAATTAATTAAGTTTTATATCTTTCATTTGATCAAGATTATTTTTATAATAAATAATTGTTTGAATACAACGCATGTGCATACTGGACGAGCTACTATATACAGTATACACCCTTCTATCAACCACAATTACTCTGTCAAATAATTCAATCTATGCTAAATTCATATTAATAATTTAAAGCAAATTTTGTGTTCAAAGAGATCCTTTATTATATAATATAATATAGGATCTCTTTGAACACAAAATTTGCAAACCTTTGCTGACTCTGTGTGAGTTTTTAACTGCTGGAAACAATTCGTTTCTATGTTAACTTCTGCTTGTTGTTTGAATAACAGGACGTAGCAATTGTATACCTATTGATAGTATATTAAAAGTCAATACTTAGATTTTAATATTTTCAGCGAACAATATGCATTGTGTCGAAGCGTTCTGCAGATATATTTTACGTTAAAACAATTACTTTTTTGAACGACTTAAACATTACTGTCATGTTCTACCATAAGTTTGGGCGTAACTTCAAGCTATTTCAAAAAAAAAATCCGAAGGAGGCCAAAAACTCAAAAGGGGTTTCGCCTGGAGTCTTGATGGTAGGTATTTTGAACACATACAGTTATTATATTATGTAACATAATACAGCAATATGTTCTTTTCTCTCATTGTTATTCATAATAACTGTTTAAAAAAAAACAGAAAACTTTTATAAGAACACTTGGAATTTTAAAAGTTGGTGAATTAATTTAAGCATTTGAGAGTCTAACAGGGCGATTTTACATTTGGTCTTCAGAGTAGGTAATGCAAAAACCCAGCATGCTGTGTAGAAATCTCTTAATATATAATAATTTAGATACCAAATCTAAAGTCCAAATCCAATTATTACAAAATACTATTTACTAATATTATGTTAAATTTTTTTTTTAGATTCAAATGCAATTATTTACACGTGGCGGTCGATCATAAATTTCCTAATAAGTATAAATAATACGAAGTAACCCGTAAGCAAAACATGTAGTAATTTATTTTAAATATTAATAATAATTTAATTGTATACAGCTGTAAGGGTCCGGAATTAACTACAGACGAAATAATTGTACTTAAATTTCTCTGCTCAGTAAAATTCTTACATATTAAATTTAAAATAAAATAATTGAAAAAACATTTTTTTTATACCTATGACGGTTTGTTAATTCTAGACATTTTTCTAGTGCTTGATTTAGTATAAGTAATGTATTCCTCAGACGAATTTATAAAAAGGGAGTGTAATTATTGGAAATATTTTTTTCAACTAAATCAATACATTTATGAGTAATATATTCTGGTCTCACTTGGAAGTAAAATAAAGATACCTAGTAGGTACCTACGCTAAAATATCTAAACAATTGAGTTACCTCCCCTCCCCTCTACTAAGTCAAGTACTGTGTGGATTAGGTCTATGTACGATGATGCCATTTTACTTCCAATTCTCCCTTTATAAGTTATTCTGGACAACCGCACAATTATAATTTATTTATTTAAGTAAATTTACACATTTTAGCACTATTGTCATTTCAGATAATTGAACTAAACTATTTTAACAATTTTTTCGTTTGTAACTTCTCACTTTCGCGTTGTGGTCGTTCTCGTTATAGTTCATAAACCTCTCACATTTTCTGCTCAGTAAAAATTAATTACTTACTTTAAAATTTGCGTCCAGTTAATCAAGTCACAACATTTTGTTCACCAACAAGATCTTTTTTGGAAATCAAATTACCAATATCTATCTCGTGGATAACCTCCTTCGTACTTTCTTATACGCAAAGTCTGTCGATACCGGGATATTTTAGTCATTAAGTTAGTCATAAGTTAGTGCATTGAGTTAGTCTTAAGTTAGTCATTAAGTTAGTCTTAAGTTAGTCATAAGTTGTATGCCCGGATCGACTTCGATGCATAAGTCCACCATTGTCTGTTGTATGGCCGCCCAGTCTGTCGATACCGGTTAGTCATTAAGTTAGTCATTAAGTTAGTCATAAGTTATGCCCGGATCGACTTCGATGCGTAAGTCCACCATTGTCTGTTGCGTGGCCGCTCAGTCTGTCGATACCGGGATATTTTAGTCATTAAGTTAGTCTTAAGTTATGCCCGGATCGACATCTATGCGTAAGTCCACAATTGCTTGAAACGCCCCTATCACACATTTCTGGTGGTTGTACAGTAAATTCAATTTGAGCATCATCGTAGATGGAGATACCACATTAAAAAAAACGAGCCAAATACTCTACCTCATGGGTGGTTTGGAAACGAGTACACAATCCCTAATACGAAGTAACCGGTAAGCAAAACATGTAGTAATTTATTTTAAATATTAATAATAATTGAATTATATACAGCTGTAAGGGTCCGGATTTAACTACAGACGAAATAATTGTACTAAGTTTCTCTGCTCAGTAAAATTCTTACTATTTAAATTCAAAATAAAATAATAGAAAAAACACTTTTTTATAAGTCTGGTTTGTTAATTCTAGACTTTTTTCTAGTGCTTGATTTGGTATAAGTAATGTATTCCTCCTTATTGACGTCTTCTAATAAGGTACACCAACGAAATTAGTGTTCCTAGGGATGATATTTGCATCACCAATAATTGTTAATATTTTGTGTCTACATAATATACCGCGGCATATATAATTATATAAAATACTGTTGTTCTTATTCATTTTTATTTGGTGTCTTTGGCCTTTGCCTTATGAACTTAACTTACGTTCATTATTTAAGGAAATTATGGAACATTAAGTATTAGTACATGGATCCACGTCACTGATTAATTGTTCTATATAGTTAGACTTTAATATAACGACTGGCGTTTCAAAGTAGGAAGAAAACTAATATTCGAAAATTGAATTTATTCCCTTTCGGAACACCATGTATACAGTATGGATAATTCTTATGAATGCTACTATAGTTATTAAAATGTATTAATATATACATTTAAAGTACTATAATATACTTATAATTAATTTATAGAACAATTCTACGCTTATTTATTATTATTACTATTATATAAAATTAATAATTAAGTGTAATGTTAGTGTATAGGCTATTGAAACCTCTTTTCTTTTACTATCAACATTTTTCAATTCCTACTTATTCCTTATTCGATTTAATTAACAACTATACATTTATCCTAATATACCTTATATTAATAAGTTTATGTTCAGATTAATGTGTAATTAGTTAATAGTTATTATATATTTTACAAATAATTAACATAAAAAAAATGTTATGTTTATCGTCCATAGTGGCGTCACCTTACCTTGTCTACATCGTAATATCCATGACAAAATAGATTTATCTAATCTAATTTGTCATGGTGATGTCTAGCTACTACAATAATCAATGGTTTTCGTTACCAGCTACCGTGTTACGGTTTTCTAATATTTGGTGATAATTTGATAAGAACAGTAACCGGTGGCGGGTGACAAATGACAATGATTAATGAAAATTTTAATTTTGAGAGTTGTAAAAATACGTAATACGGATAACGGAATACCTAATTTAAATATAATATACCTAATATAGCAAAATAATACATAATTAAATAACATAATATATTGTCTATATATTTTACAGTAAACTAATTTTGCGATTTGTACTTGAAGTGTACTTAAATTTTTGATTTATTCCATTTTTTTCTTCGTAAAACTGTTTTTATATACTAATCTGCCTATTTTTTTAAAATGGCCACTAGTTTAGTAATTCTTGGTGATAATGCTGCCAGAATTACTGTTAAAGTTAACCCTAACATGACTATACTCAATGTAAGTATTATTTCCATTAAACATATTTGTTAATTATTATTTTTTATACATAAACATTTATTTAATTTTAAATAGGTGCTCGAATTAGCTTGTACAAAATGGAAAGTAGATAGCAACAACTATGATTTGAAGTAACTTTTTTTATAATTTTATATAATTGATGTGCGAATGTATAAATAGTAGGTGTATGATTTATTTTTAATAGGTACCATAATAAGATATTGGATACAACTAGCCTTATCCGGTTTACAAATATTGCTAACAATGCTTTATTGGAATTAGTACCAGTTGCTAAATCTAGAATAAACAGCCCAGTTGGTATATGGCTTCAATTAGAAGATGGGTCAAGGTTGACTGGAGAATTTACACCAAATCGTATGTTATTGACCTTCCGTTGGTAACAAGGGTGATAAGTAACCCCAATCTATGAGTGATATACTGTTACCAATGGAATGTTAAAATTGGTATGTTCTATCTTGAACTATATTGTGCATATTATTTATGTTAGAAAGTCTATGGGATGTTATCCAGTCAATTCTTAAAGAAAATGCTGCTAATTATGATAGTCCGGCTATAATTTATACCAGAATGGAAATAATAGGCAAGGAGCAGTTACAAAAGAAATCTTTAAAAGATATTGGTCTTGTTGGTGGTAAAGCATTATTAAGGTTTGTTAAGTAATAAATCCAGAATATCATAAAAAAAACATGTCTATGGTAATTATATTTGTATAAAAATTCAAATCTATAAAATATTATTGCACAGAAACCTCCATGGAATAATACTTTGTAAATATCTACAAAATAAAATATTTTCATTAGTGATAACAGGATTTTTTTATGTTTAGTTCATTTTACTTTCATTGCATATACCTAGTAAATAATATAAAGTAGTAATTATTTGCTGAGAACGTATTGAGTGATTACTGATATTCAGAAAGTTGAGCATTAGAACCATACTACTTTTATTACCAAATGGGTACAGCTATGAATAAGTATACAAAATTCATTTTACATCCATGTAATATTATTAACATTGAATAGTTTACACCTAAGTTAGTTATTACCTTTTTAAATTATGTGACAATAACTTGTTTTCACTGAACTTGCTGACATTTTTTTTAGCTTCACATTATAACTAAGTATTATAATGAGATTTTTTTTTATTTTTAAGTTTGGAGCCTCAACAACTATGTAACCACTACATTAATATTCATTATAATATAGTCTAAAAATCAATATGTATACAAAGTTACTTAACGTGGTCACGAGTTGAGAAAATTTATTTTATCCACTTCTCAAAAACACTTGATGCAACTTAAATATGCACACTATAAATACAATATAAAATATATTATAAACTTGTTAGAAGCGTTTGTAAGTACAGCTTTACAAATGTGCAATGAAAAACCCAAACAAATATCTATCCTTTTCCTTAGAAGGGATGGAAACTTTCTTTATTTTAGTCAAATGTGTTTACATTGTTAACATACCTAGGAATAATTGAAATAAATGGAATAAAATAATAAAATATTTTATTTTTGGTAGGTTATTAAATAAAAGTGAATCAGTCGAACAAGCTCATGTGTATGTGCCTCCAGAAAGAAAGCCAAAAATTGAAGAATCTTCTCAACGTTTAGGTCATAGAGAGAGGTCTCCTATTGATCAATCTAATAATTTAGGTAATCTAGAAAAATTAAAGGAAGAAGTTCAACAAAATCAAGAAACCACAGATATTAATATTCCACCAAAAACTGAGGCAATAGATACATGTGCAACTAATAAAACCATAGAAAATAAGGACAAAAAAAATAAAAAAGATATTAATCCTAAACTCAGTGATGAAGATCTCAACAATTTCAAATCTACTATAAAATATGTTAGTGAAAATATTGTTTATAACTATCTAAAATCTATATTATATCTGTAACAACTATGAATAAGACGTGTGTAAGTCAAATTTTAGTCAAAATTGACTAAGTACGCTAGGATGTAGTCCGAGGCGTCTAGCACACGTTGAATAAATGTCTAACTCGTTGGACCGACAAGAAGACTTTGAGAGAGATGTGTTATTGGCTAAGTTGGGATTTATGGCAGCTGGTCAAAGTTTAAAACCGCTCCCCTGTAAAATCACTGAAATTGACTTGCACACTTATTCACAGTTGTTACAGATATAAGTTTTATAAATATAACTTCAATTTATTTATTAGCTAGATGAACGAGAGACTTTGTTGTTTGACATGATGGATGGAACTTTTGTTACTTACAAAGACGAAGGTGATGATTTCTATGAGCCTACAGTCAAAGATGTAACACTTGTGATGAGGGATTTGAAAAGTTATAGGTAATCATAACATGTTATAAATTATTTTTACCAAGTATTTGATGTATTCATATTTTTAAAAATTATTAAATATTCATTAAACATTTTTACACATAGGTATGTATTTTTTAATTACATCTTATATAATGAAGCACTATAATGTGTGTGATCTTAATTAGGGATAACAGAAAATGTAATACTATCGTTATATTGATATCAGTCGACCATTGAATTGATAATTTGATGAAAATATTGAATTAATTCTTGATTGTATAATTTGTATAGGTAGTGTATTACTATAATGACACTACCATTTTAAACTTAATACTTTTGGCTATGATTATTAATATTAATATATATTTATATTTATATCAGTTTTATAATATAATTCATACTAAATAAAATTACTGTTTGCACGTGGTAGGTGTAGAATAAGATGTAATGGCGTATTTTTTAAGCTGGTAAGTTTTAATTTGATTGACAAACTAGACTCTGGTATGGTAACCTAACCCAACCATAATCTGGTTGATTTTGGGACAAATATTTTGTCAGCATTTGTTGTGAAATGACTGGTGGGAGTTTTTCTTCGAGGGAAAGATATTTTTAAGGCATAGTGACTTGTTGAAGATCACTATAAAACACATAATCTTGAACATAAAATAAAAACTACCCACCTAAACCGAACCAAGTGCCTACTTTAAGCGGTTTGTTTTTAACATTGTTTACATTCATTATAATCTGGTTTAGACGATATTGCACATACTAGGAAGCTGTCCACTGTATAAAATTATTATTTTTAATTAAAGGATTTTAATGAAGATATAAAAAACACAAAACCAAAAAGATAGATTGCTTTTGGATTTGTTGAATCTACAGTTTATATATATATATATATAAATTAGAATTCTTATTAAATTACCTAAATTTAGAATTAAAAAGCCATAAAAATTAAATTAAAATTAATGCAAGTGAGTTTGGGTTATTTTTTGTTTCTTTTTTAAATACATAGTGTTACCACTCCCAAATTTTTATGCCCCATTTCTATTTTTTACTGTGTAGGTTCATATTTATTATAATTGTTATTAAGATTATAAAATATTAATATATTTGTATGGTTTAAAATTAAAATACATTTATATGATTAATTGTTTTAAACAAATTATTAACATATAATAGACCATATATATAATTATAAATTGTGTATTTATTTTAGATCTCAACTTGAAGATGGTCAACTATGTACAAATGCTATGCGAGTTTTACAAAAAACTCAAAACCAATTGAACTTGTTATACCAGTACAAAAAGTGTATTGTTAGAGTACATTTTCCTAACCGATTAGTGTTACAGAGTGTTTTTAAGTCAACTGAAAATGTATCAGACGTAATTAGTTTTTTGCGAAAATATTTAGTCGATGGATCAATGGAATTTCATCTTTGTAAGCATAATTTTTAAAATGTTACTGTGAAATAATTTAGTACAATGACTTACCAAGAAAAGAAGTCGAGGCGTTTTACAACTATTATAACATCTTCCTTACTTTATATGTATTATTATAAATTAATTAATTAACATAATGGTACAATTTTTTAGTTACTGCACCACCTAAAATCATTTTAAACCCAGAAGAAACACTTTTAGAATGTGGATGCGTGCCATCTGCTATGGTACATTTTTCAAGTATGACAGAAAGTGATCATTTGAAACCAGAGCTCAGGGAGAAAATTGTTTCTGCAAACCAAGCATCAATAGCTGCATATCTTGTCAGGTTAACAAAACACATTCATTTTTATATTATATCAATGAAATCAGGGTTCAACTGGGAGATCACTTTTGGGGGCTCGGGAATTGAAGATTACAAATGATAAGATCATTAATTAACAATACTTAATCATACAATATACTATATATATGTATGAATGTATGTATAAATATATAGCATTCTTAAAAAGAGACCAATAATATTTGAGCAAATAGGTGATAATAGCAAATAATATGATTTCTTTGTGTAGCAAGTATATTGACTAGAAATTGTACCCTAAAAGTACTTTATTGGGTCAAAAATTCTTGTAAGATAAGAAACAAACAAAAAGATTAAGGGATTATTTATGTATAAAGAGATACCATTACTTGTATATTTATTAACTAATATTAGTGGATAAATTGACTAATCTTACATTTTTAGAATAATTATAATAGGTAGCAGATTCTCATGACAATTAGAAACAAAATCGGTAATGTCACCCAATTTTTTTTAAACATTTCATACTCTAACACCATACAGCTTAAGAATATATAATCTTTTTTTTATTTCTTTCAAAATGTCAAAAATATTTTGGGTTTATTATAAGATTGTAATGGAGGATTCGATTAAAATATTTTGAGTAATATTGTTTAGGTAACACAAATTATATTCTACTTTTTAAAATACTTCCAAAATGCCATTCTTCTTAATAAGAAATATGATAACATATAAAATATTGTTTTATGAAAAAATATGTTGTCTTCTTGAAAATTAGGATTTAATACATCATAAGGGTTTCTTTGCAAAACAAAATAAAATATATACTTAATATTTTTTCCATTTACATAAAATATATATATAAATAATAAAATAATTTTTTAATTTTGTATATTTTAGGAAAGAAAGAGCTAAAAATTCTAAAACAACTAGCAATGAAGTACCACATGATGAAGCTCAACAAAATCCAGGTCCTAGTAGAAAGTCGAATCAAGAAATCAAACAGAAACCTAAATGGTTTAAGCCATAGTGATATATTAAATATTTTAAACACCTATTAATGTCCAAATTAAATTTGAATTCTCGATATCATTATTAATAATAATTTATTATTGTATAAAGGAAAATTTAAAATTAGTTCAAAAAAACAAAATAATTAAATTTATAAAATATAAACCAAATTATGTATATATTCATAAAATACATAGTTACTGTTTACAAACTAAAAATGATTTTATAATTTTATTCAGTCTTTTGCAATTGTTGCATTCTTTTTTATTTATACTCTCGATTGATTACTCTAATTTTTGTTCTAATAACACCAAGTTTACTAAATGTCTCATAGTTGGTCTTCCATGAGGGCAATTCTACAAAAAAAAAAAAAGTATTTTTTTGTAAGCTGTAAGATACAATAAGGATACAAGTTCATAGATAGCATATTTTAGTAATAACTTTTATAGTTAGTTAGATATTATAGTAAGAGGTAATATTGCAAATGTAAAAAGGCTTACCCAAGGTTGTTCAATTACTCCCATATTATTTATCAGTTTTCTCATATCATTTTTATTTAGCACAGTCCCAATCATAACAGACTTACGACAAGCCCGAGAAGCAAACATAGAACGAACTCTAGATGGCCTACATAGGGTATGTGGTGAATCCTTTAAAAAAGAAAAAAATTTGTTCACTTTTGAAAGATATGTTTTTAAGGATATTTTACGATGGGTATGATTCATACTTGCAACATAAATAAAAGTTCGTCGACATCTTCTTTACCAAATTTCCAATTTTTACTCATTGGGATCATGGTCATTTTTACTTTTTTTGTAGTTACTTCTAAAAAAAAAAAAATCAGAAAATATAATGCATGCAACGTCAAACATATGAACAATTTATCATCATGTCTAAAAACTAAGTAGAGTAAGTTAGTCCGTAAACTGTTATATTTTTATTGGTATAATAGAGGTAAAAAAAATAATTGCATTTAATATTATGCATACAAGTGTAGTTTAAAAATAGTATGTAATTATAATATCTAAAATTGAATTTACCACTTTCTTGAATTTCAAAATCGAAACCATTCATTCGGAAAATATCAATATTTTCAATTAAAATCATTTCATTAACAGCAGTGAGCTCCAATTGTTGTGGCCTATAACAATAAAAAAAAAAACATACTTGTTATCTAAGTAGCCCATTTCTTACTCATCTAAAAATATCATTCTTTTAATTATTATCATTTGGTAATTATTTATTTATTTGGTATTTATAATTGTATACTTAATACAAATATCTGGAAACCAATTTTTGGAAAAATATTAATTGAACTTATATTAATTAATTTATACTTACACAACAAGTTTTTGACTTGTGATTTTAGTGGTTTTTTGTAGTGTCTCAAAGTTATATTTCTCGTCAGTAGCATGTTGATCGACTATGAATAAATCTGCATCGAGTTTTGTAATAATAAATCCCAGGTTAAACTGTCCTATTATACTCATCTTTTGTAAAAAAAAAAAAATAATAATAATAATATATAAATTGTATAATTATACTATAAATATTTATTTACTTGGCTAAACATAGTTTTAGTGATTTCTTTACTTAATTCGTTTTCAGCTTGTTTATTTTTATTAGGATCAATTGCAGCATAAAATCGGGTTTTTGCTTTTCTTTTTTTCACTTCTTTACTCCATAAGTTTTTTAATCTTTGTTCTATTTCATCAATAGTTATTCTCACAACAACTTCTCTTCTACTTGCGGTTGCACTTGATTTATCTATTTCGATGCATTTATGAGGAGTATTCGAAGATGAACTGTCAACGATGTCTACATCAGCTTCACCTACAGATGATATATTCATTTCATCTGTTGAACCACTATGATCACTTTTATATTTTACAGTTTGAAATGATTTTTCACGATCTTCGACTAAATTATGAGTTAGAGTAGAAAAACTTTGCAAATTAAAATTTTTAGTTTCAAATTGTTTATAATCAGTTTTTTCAATAACAAAATGCTTTTTTTCAAATTCAGTTGTTTTGTTTCCTTCAGTATTATCTTGCATGAAATTACATTTTTTAACACAGAAATCAACTTTAGATTCTTGGTTTTCATTTTTGTCTTCTATATCAACTTCATCATTAACCTCATGTTTCTTTTGTAAAAATGTATCTATTCTGTTTGTAGTAACTACTTTAGATTTTTCAGATTTCCATCGGCTAAGCTTGGCTTTAATTTGATCTACATGACTACTGGAATTTTCTTGTTGGTTCAAATTTGAATTTGTAGCCAGCTTTGGTTCTAACACATAAATAAATTAACATAAAAAAATATAATTCAAACACTATTTTTTACTACTTACGTTTAATAATACTATTTTCTAAAATGGTCTCATCATGTGATCTTTTTAATGAGAATGATTCATAAATAGATGTATTTATTTTGTATGTAGATGGGATGGTTTCGTATAATCTAGTTAAACTCATCTTAGAAGAGAAATAAATAATAATTATAGTTTTTGCATTACAATATATTCTTAGATAAAGTGCAGTTGGATAAGTTGAAAGGATATGACATATATGCAAGGTCGGTCTGGTAGCAGGAAGGTTGTTTAGGTAATAAATTTATATTGAGAGACTAGTGTATAGGAAAGCAAAAGAAAATGTAGCCCAAATAAGGATAAATAGAAACCATTATGGACATAAGACTAAGCAGGAAGTATGAGTAAAAATTAGATCTGCATAAACTCAAATACACTTACTTTTAAGATTGATATTATGGAATTCTCATTTGTTAAAAATATTTGTCTTTTATCAGGTGTTACATTTACATCTACTTCAGCCCTCTTTATATTAATATTTAAGTAAACAAATGGATATTGATTTTGATTATATTGATGATAAACTTCATTAACAGTTTTAATAATCTATAAAATATAAAACAGATTGATAATTATTATAAAAAGTATTTAATAATTTGTTGAGTAGGTATCATTTAAAAATACCTATATCATTTTTAATTTATCCAAATTTAATAATCATACATTAAATATACAAGTTAAATTAAATTTATATATTTTTAAAATTATTTTTTTTATGGCCTTTATTTAAATATATAATATGTTAATAAAGTATATGTATACTCTTCCATTTACAATGTGCCAGTTTTATAGAATTTGTCGGTTTTATTTAGAAAAAGAGGCAATTCAAATTCTTGTTTTGGTTTTTATTAGTTTTTGTATTCATAAATTTAAATAAATACTTTACTTGACGACTATAAAAGTATTTAGCAGAACATTTAATTTAAATCCAGACTTGGTAATGGTATAAATAGAATTAAAAATATTCTTATCAATTTAATTGTTATAATTTATAATAATTATTAAATTAAAGGATTCAGTCTAAAAACATACTAAAAGTGAATTTGTAAATTGTACAGTAACAAAAAAAATTAACATTTTTATCAATGGGTTAGAATGGTTTTCTATGCTTTTTGCACAATGATTATATTATGTAGTAAGAAAATTCTGAGAAATGTTATGATTCTTAAAATAGGTTTAGATAGCTTAATATTTCACATAAAAACAAGAACCGAAAAAGTGGTCAATAGCACTTTATTTGGACAGAACCTTCAATAATTTGAATACTCATACTGTGATTACTAATTATTATATTTACCTTTGATGGCTCACATGGTCTAGAGTTAATAAAATAAAATTGTCTGTCTTTAGAACTTCTTCCACTATTATGATCACAGCTAGACACATAACCATCAATTTCAAAAATATTTTCTTCTTGTTCACCTATTTCTTCCGGGTTAACTTTTTTAAATTCTAACAAATTACTAGCCTATAAAAAAAAAAAAACTAAATTTGTCAACATCAATTTTGACTTATTCGTTTTTATAGAAAATTACTTGTTTGGATCCAAAAATACAAGAAATATTTTCTAAAACAGTATTACCTCCATGAGTAGAAAGAATAATGTTGTTATTAGATTTTGTTTGGTTAGAACATAATATTCTGAAAAAGCAAATAATTTTCAAAATTAATCATAATATGCAAGTAATTATATAATTTAGAAAATTACAATTACAATGACTATACTTGACTTGTGTAGCTACTAAACAATATCCTGTAACTACTTGAATCATTTTTCCAAATTCTTTTTTTAAATTACGATGAAATTCTTTATATCTCACAGGCAGTGTTGAAAATAAATTTGTTAACGTAACTGCAGTTCCTACCTAAAATTATAATAGACTTTATATTATTTGAATAATAATAAATATATTTATAAAATGTTGTGCTTCCATATAATTTTTTAAAAGTTTAAGAAATTAAACCATAAATAGCTAGGAACAAAGCCAGCATGATAAATTAGTACAGAAAGATTTCAATCATGTCAATTTTGTCAGTTAAGTTAAGCAAGTTTTTAGGAATAATTTATCTGTAATTATTTTGTTAAATAAGACACAATAACCATATTGGCAGAGGTAGAAATGAAGTTAATGTATTGAGTTATTTGTGCTGATGCTTATTGCTGAGTTAGAAACATACAATTTTGTATTATCTTTTTTGGTAATAAGTAAATAATATTTTATTTATTATTGTTAAAATAATAGAATTTTAGTAATAATTAAATAATTGGATATATATTATAACAGTCAACAGTTTGATATTTCGTGATAGTTCCCTTTACTGGGCATACAACTGTCAAAGATGTAAATAGCTACTCCTCACTTTCCAAGTCACAATTTTTTTTGATCAGTGTTAAAATTGAAGCCAGTAGTAATTCAATCTACCAATTCTAAACAGCATTTTAAATATTGTGGTAAACAAAAACAAATGTTATAAAAAGAACAAAATAGTTATACTTGTCTGGCACAGGGTACTTTAATTTTAATATGACCTCGATAGTCAAATACAAGCTTAGTGCCACATGGCTGGGATGTGTGCCTTGTTGTTACTATTACATCGCTAAGAGCACATAGTGAACTTAAAGCTTCTCCGCGGAAACCAAATGTTTCTATAGAGCTGAGATCAGAAAATTCTTGAATTTTGGATGTATGATGCTTCAGAGCTAAAGACAGTAATATTAAATTAATAAAATATAATCTACTTTATATATCTTAATTACCTAGTCCTTCGAAATTATCAGGATGGACACCACAACCATTGTCCGTAACTTCTATCATGTCTTTCCCATATTCCTTTATTTTTAATTCAACAAACGTTGCTCCTGCATCTAAACTGTTCTCAATCAATTCTTTTACTGCAGTAGCCAAGTTTAAAACGACCTTATGGATGAAGAACATAATATAATAATTTTACTTTATTTTTAAAATAGTAAAATTAATTGTCTAGTAAGTACCTGTCCTGAACATATTTTATGAATATCTAATTTACTTATAGGTTTTATTTGACCAGACATCGTAAGTATGAAATAAGTTTGACAATCTAATGTGATATACAAAATTATGTTAGTAAGTAAAATATAGTTGTCTCTTAGTTGAAACAAATTTATAAAAATTAGGGCGTTATGATGAATTTAAGGATAATAATTAGACCATCGAATTTAACGGTATCTCTGATTTATAAACTATGAACTACCTTTATAAATAACAATTGGATTCCATTAATGGGTAAATAATTTAAATTAAAAAACTGACTATAATCATTGGTAAATAAATAAATATGAAAATATTGATAACATAAATTGATAATACCTCCTGAACTCAATATTGAGTTCAGTGATAATAACACAGACTTTGAAGATAATATTATCACTTAAAGACGTGCTGTCAATTCATAGAGTTATTTCACATCTGTGTTAATATTGAGGGCCGTTCCATCAAAATATTGGTTTGAACCATAGAGTAATACTATTGTATATGTATATGTATATAATATTATTTAAAACTCAGTATATATTTGACTTTTAGCTCTATGAATATTATCTATAAACCTTGCAGTCAACTTACAGCGGACGGTTGACAGCGGCCATTTTGTAGTTATCACAAGTTATTGACCTACCTACCAGTTTTTTATCATGACCGCGTGCACTTGTAATATTAGCGTCGGTTGGTAACGCTACAGAGCTACCAATTTAACAGTTATCTAATCTAGCCGCTAAGCAATTGATAACATTAGATGGCCAAGTGTGACTGTAGTCTGCTGTCTGTAGTATTTTTATTACAAAATAAAAAACATAGTCGTCGAGGGTAGCGCATACTGTCTAGAAATTGGTAGTTTTTAAATTTATTATAATATTGTACTATGCAATTTCGTGTTCAAAAGTTTATAGTTCCTCAAAAATGATTTATTAAGTGTTTTTTCTTTGTGTACGTTTCACTCAAGTTTCGACCATTGCAAAAATGGTCAACCCAATTGAAATTCCATTAAAAGATTCCGACGAGGTAAGTATTTATTGATTTATAGTTGTATATTATTAATTCGAACGCACTTAAGCTTCCACGTAATTGATATAATATGTATTTTATTATTATTAACAACTATTACTAGGAAATTTTTTAAAATTCTGGGATTTTAATATCTTTGTTTTGATTCGTTCCAACCAAGTATTGTTTAATTGAACAAAAAAACGGCAGTTTTACCAATACATTTTTTAAAATGTATAACAATAATTTTTATAAAATGCATTGTATTATTAGAAGTGCTTAAATAATCCTTAAAATTATTTTAAAGTTAAAATAATTGTTTATGCCTTTATTAGGAATTCTGTGTACAATATAAAGCTTAGGCTTAGATGATTTTCCCCCAAAAAAAAATATTTTACGTACACACAATTTAAATTAAGAATTATTGTAAATAGTCTATTCTTTACTTTTTGTTTCTGTTCTTCGACTGTTACATTTCATTGGGATAATCCTCTTAAATCACAAAATAGTTGTCGAACCAGTTTTTATTCAGAAATATTTAAAAGAAAATTTGCATTCTTATAATAATACTTATACCTGTATTTAATTCAACCTAGTAGGCTAGCTTATGCTTCTTTAAATAATAAATAATTAAAGATAAAGATACCTAATAAAAATATAGTAATTTACCAAAACAAAACAAAAATTAATCTTGATTTATTTGTTTTGAATACAATAGTTTAATTAAAACAAATAATTTGTAGAATCTATTATGTTGATAATAAAATATGTAGTATTATTTTGGTTTGATATTTTTCATATTATTGTGGTCTTAAAGTCAATATGTATAAATATAAGAGTAATATCCGTTTTATTGTACATGACATTATTTTAGCTCTTAATTGTAAATTTTTAGTAGAGTCACTTGTGGTTTTATTATAAAATTATGAATAAACCTTAAACACAATAAAAATATACTTATGAGCGTATAACGGCGACTATGTTGTCATCATCAGCGCTAACCGCAGTCCGTGTTTAATTAATTGTATATTATTAAAACAAAACACCCAACTATTCATTTTAGGTAATTGAAATACAGTTGGACAAATTACCTGATTATGAAGAGGTACTTGGTATTTTGAAATCTGAAAACTCAAATTTACACATATGGGTTAACTTAGCTGTAAGTGTATTTTTTTAAATAATAAATATAAAAAAAAAAAAAATAATAATGTAACCAATGTAATTGTTGAGCCATAATGTTTTTATTTAATGAACTCGATAGTTGGAGTATTACAAAAGTGGGAACACGATTGCTCTGGTAAGATTGTTAGAATCATCACGCAGCAATGCGAGCTTGGAGTATAAAGACAGTGACAAAGATCAAATGAGGGCACTTGACATGCTGGCTGCATACTATGTGCAAACAGCTAACCGAGAGAAGAGTAAAGATAAACGACGTGAGCTTTTTACTAAAGCTACGCAACTTTATACAACGGCAGATAAAATTATTATGTATGATACGGTAAGAATATATCAACATATTATTTTAGTTCTCACTTTTTACATAAATGTTAAATTAATTTTACAGAATCATTTATTGGGCCGAGCATTCTTTTGCTTGTTGGAAGGCGATAAAATCGAGCAAGCTGATGCTCAATTCAATTTTGTTTTGAACCAGTCATCTAATAATATTCCAGCTCAGTTGGGTAAAGCATGTATAGCATTTAATCGAAAAGATTACAGAGGTGCGTTGGCCTATTATAAAAAAGCATTGCGGTCAAACCCTAAATGTCCTGCTGATGTACGTCTGGGTATGGCTCATTGTTTCCTTAAGTTGGGAAATACCGAGAAAGCACGATTAGCATTTGAGAGAGCTTTGCAGCTAGATCCTAAGTGTGTTGGAGCATTAGTAGGCCTGGCTATTATGAAGCTGAATGGTGAAAACCCTGGCGACATTAAATTAGGTGTAAATATGTTGTCAAAGGCGTACACAATAGACACAACAAATCCGATGGTGTTAAATCATTTGTCCAACCATTTTTTCTTCAAGAAAGATTATAGTAAATCAGAACTACTAGCAAGGCACGCATTACAAAATACAGAAAACGAAGCAATGAGAGCTGAAAGTTGTTATCAAATGGCTCGAGCTTTTCATGTACAGGTATATATATAATAAACATATTGTTAAATAGTATTGCAAGATAAAATAAAATTATACATATTTTTAGTTTTTATAAAAAATTGTTGATTTTTAGTAATTAGTTATAACGATAAGTGATAACTAATTTTGTTTTTTAACTTCTAGAATAACTATGATCAAGCCTTTCAATATTATTACCAAGCGACTCAATTTGCACCTGTAACTTTTGTATTGCCACATTATGGATTAGGACAGATGTATATTTATGGCGGCGATATGGAAAATGTAATATATTGTGCACACACTATGGTTTTGTTATAGAATCTGTATCATTATTATAATATGTTATTTTATAAATTATTTAGGCAGCTCAGTGTTTTGAAAAAGTACTTAAAGCTCAGCCTGGTAATTATGAAGCTATGAAAATTCTTGGTTCGCTGTATGCTGATTCAAAAAATCAACAAAAACGTGATCTAGCAAAAAATCATTTAAAAAAAGTATTTATTTGATAACTTTTAAGTTCGGACACTATCTACTAACTTAAAATATGTTCATAGGTGACTGAACATTTCCCAGACGATGTTGAAGCATGGGTTGAGCTTGCACAAATTTTAGAACAATCGGATCTTCAAGCATCATTATCTGCGTATGGCAAAGCTATGGATTTAATTCGCACCGGTATAAATAGAGATATTCCACCTGAAATACTTAATAATGTTGCTGCATTAAATTATAGGTTAGAATAATTTTATTTAAATCACATTTTTGTTATGTATATCTAATTTTACTTCATAATATTATTTCTATTATTACTTACAGATTAGGAAATTTAGAAGAATCACGTTCTAAACTGGAAGAATCATTGAGTTTATCTAAAAAAATGGTTGAAGCCGATCCACAGCATTATAATTCTATAGCTGTTACAACTACTTATAATTTAGCTCGTATATTTGAAGCACAATGTCAGTTTCAAAAGGCTGAAACACTTTATAAAGATATTCTTAAAGAACATCCTAATTATATTGATTGTATGAATAGTTGAAAATGTTCACATTTGTTTTCCTTTACTAAACTTAACATGTTTAGGTTATTTACGTTTGGGTTGCATGGCACGAGATCGTAACCAAATTTATGAAGCATCTGATTGGTTTAAAGAAGCATTGCGTATAGACACTGAACATCCCGATGCCTGGTCATTGCTCGGAAATTTACATTTGGCTAAAATGGAATGGGGACCAGGTCAAAAGAAATTTGAACGTGTTTTGAAAGTAAGTGTTTAGTTTAGTTCATTACTTAAGTATTAAAAAAAATAATGATAATATAATAACTTAATGATACAATAATAAGAATCCATCAACTTTAAACGATTCATATTCACTAATTGCCTTGGGAAATGTTTGGCTTCAAACTTTACACCAACCAACTAGAAATAAAGAACAAGAAAAAAGACATCAAGATTTGGCTTTACAATTCTTCACGAAAGTGTTGAAAGTTGATCCAAGGAACATTTGGGCAGCTAATGGAATCGGTAAGGAATTTTAATACTATAAAAAATAAGTGTCATAGCTTAAAATTTTTTGAAGAAGTAATTTACTATCCATACAGACATTACAATGAATAAAAGGAATGTTTTGCTATATTTAATTAAACCTTGTTAAAATTGTTTTAATTTAGGTTGTGTTATGGCTCACAAGCATTGCATAAATGAAGCGAGGGATATATTTGCTCAAGTTAGAGAAGCTACTGCAGATTTTTGTGATGTTTGGTTGAATATAGCACACATTTATATTGAACAAAAACAATATATTAGTGCGATTCAAATGGTACATATAATATAATAATTATCATGTAAACTGTTCGAAGTGAAATAATCTTAGTTTTGTTCAAAAACATTTTAGTATGAAAACTGTATGAAGAAATTTTTTAAACACGATAGCGTTGAAGTTCTTCAGTATCTAGGACGTGCTTACTACAGAGCGGGCAAGCTAAAAGAAGCAAAAGTTGTATTTCTTAAAGTAAGTTTTTTTATTATTTCTTTGGTTTTGATGATGTTATATTTAAATAACTATTTTTACGATTATAGGCTCGGCGAGTCGCTCCTCAAGATACTGTTATCATTTATAACATTGCCTTTGTTCTTCAAAAATTAGCAGCACAAATTCTTAAAGATGAAAAATCTAACTTAAAAGATGTTCTTCAAGCTGTACACGAACTAGGTTTATCGCACAAGTAACGTTTTTGTTTTGTTTAATTATCATGTACTAAGCAGGGTACTGTGTAGCTTTTACGTCGTTAGAAAAATATTTATAAACGTTATTATGGCCATTGTGATAACCTGATAAAAGAAATGACTTACTAAAGAATCTTTATTTCTGTGCTAAGAAATAGATATTTTAGTTTTAGCTTAAGAGTACAATTTTATAATATATGGCTTATACCGAATCTCTTAATATACAATGTTATGTTTAGATTTTAAATATATGTAAATTAATAAATATGATTATTATGATTTTATTTGATTTTAAGGTACTTTCAGTATTTGTCTGTACACGGTGATCGTATGCGTTACGATGTAGGTCTGGCGGAGATTGAAGCTAAACATTGTCAAGACTTGTTATCGCAAGCACAATATCACGTGGCCCGTGCTCGCAAGATGGACAATGATGAAAAAGAAAAGCGTCGAAAACAGGAAGAAGAGCGAGAAGCATTCAAATCGAAGCAACTTCAAGAGCAATTTAAAGCACTACAACAGCAAGAAGAACAAAAAAAAGAAATGTTACTTAAGAGGCAAGAATATAGAGAAAAAACTAAAAATGCTCTTGTTTTTGATACTATACAAGAAAAACCTAAAAGTAAAGGTAGACGCCGGGAAAACTATGGATCCGATTCAGGTGGAAGTATTGCGTCCGAACCTGCAGACGGCAATAGAAGTCCGAGACCTGTGAAATCTAAAAAGTCTAGAAAAAGGTAAACAGTAGTGTCTAACTTAGTCTCTATAATATATATATTGTGTGGGAATAAATTGTAAATGGGTTTCATCTTGTAAATTATTGCTCTTTAACAATAACTAAAAAATTCAATAAAGTGTATAATAGTATTATTTTGGCCTACTATTATAAACATATTATTTTTTTAGTGGAACTGTTGGGGGTGGTGATAGAGAAAATAAAAAGAAAGGAGGCTCTAAACGAAGAAGAGACAGTAATGCTGCATCAGGTGGTTCCGAGAGTGATAGACCTTCATCTAAAAAAGGCCGTTCTTCCGTGAGTATTGTTGTTATTCTTTCCACGTTAATTTTTTTTTTTTTCTTTAATATATTAGGTATGAACTATTTTTTTTTCATTTCTAGACTCAGAGTAAGAAAGCACCAATGTTGTCCTCAAAACAGAAACTTAGAGTTGTATCTAAAGCAACTATATCAACTAGTGAAGATGATAGTAGTGATGGTGAAGTCAAAAAAAGAATTTCCGGCCAGTTAGTATTATATATAAATTTTATTTGTTTTAAATAATGTTATTTAATAATTATTTATTTCTATTATTTTTTTTCCTATTTAGAAGTTCAAGCAAGGGTAGAATGTCACGTTCTAGGTACTTTTATAAAACGGCCGTAATATTGTAATACATTTTTACACTTTACAAATTATTTTTATTTTATAGCTCTGGGTCCCGTTCAGGATCAGGAAGTCGCAACTCTAGAAGTCCATCAAGATCACGATCTGGTTCACGAAAATCGCGATCTAAGAGTGCTGCTTCTCGTAGTCGTTCTAGATCCCGTTCAAGGAGTCGATCACAGTCAGGCAGCCGTTCTCGTTCAGGTAGCCGTTCTGGTTCAGCTAGTCGCTCTCCTTCTCGTAGCCGATCGAAGTCAGTCAGTAGGTCAAAATCTAGATCAGTTAGTGGCTCAAGATCACGATCCCGTTCACAATCTCGTAGTAAATCAAAATCACAAGCTCGTTCAAAATCTGGTAGTCGCTCTGCTTCCAATTCTCCAAATCGCTCAGGTAGTAGATCTGTATCAAATTCTCCTGTGAGAAGGTCTACAAGTAGATCACCTTCTGGATCCAGGTAAATATTATTAATACATGTATGAAATTAATATAACTCAGTTTTATGGTTTATTAAGTACAATATTGTGTTTACAGGAGTGCATCAGGGTCTAGATCAGGATCTGTTTCACCTAATGTTTAACTTAAAATTAAATTTTTTGTTCTCTTTTAACAATAATGTCATTAATACCTTATAATATTATAAAACGAAAAGGTATTTTTTTTTTTTTCATGTATGTTAAATAAGTTGCAAATTAATAGCATGTTAAATTACAGTTTTTAAATTAAGTCTAAAAAAATCGTATTAAATTTGTGTTTAATTGTTTAAAATTGTACTTCTTATGGACAAATGAATCAACGCTTAATTTTATAGATAAGGGTTATCTTTCATTCAAAATAGGTATTATTATATATGTTTCAAAACCATCGAAGTTTTTATATGCTCTGTTTGGTATTTATAATTTAAAAACTATAGATAAACTGTTACCTAAACATATTGTTACTTAATAGGTAATAGCTTTTTTTAAAAATAATTATAACAATAATTTGATGTGTATTTTTTATGCTAAAATGTTTGTTTTTATTTTTTATTATACATACATAGGGTTATCTAAAATTTATATTACATTCATTTTTTCTATGAAATAATTGTATTAGCTAAAAAAGGATTAAATAAAACAGTTATTATTTTTAATATTTATGTAAAAAATATTCTTCTTAGAGGTAGTTTTAATTGGTAACTTTTAAAAGGCAAAGAGCAACCTACCATATTTGAATTAGATATAAAAGAAGGACAGACAATTGAAAATAATGACTGGTCAAAAACCAGTTTTGAGTAAATACTTTTTGAGTTACTAGCATTTAAAGTTTAGGTGAAGTGTGGATTTAATAACATCACAGTCCATCTCACCTCTAGCCTATATCTTTACACACTAAAATCTCACAAAGTATTTATTCAAAACTGATTTTATGACATCATTTTGCTTTTAATAGGAAATTAAAATACACAGGGTATCATTTGCTTGTTATAAGTTGCCCTTTAAAATATAATTGGTAATTCAAACAAGAACAACTATCTCCAAACATTAATAATATGATAATGATTTTATTTGAATTTTGTTGTTGCTTAAACTATTTTTTCATAGTTAAAATGAAATTTGGATAACCCTGTTTATAGAAATTTATATTATCTAACTATTGGCTTGTTTCAAGGTTTTACTATTTATTTTAATAAATAATTAATCGACAATTTATTATTTAAAATTTCTTGAAATGTATATTATATTCATATTTGTTGTACATTTTTTAATATGTATATTTTTTACATATCTAATGTGTTGGTTGGATTGTTGGAATAATAATGAAGATCAGCTGATGTAACACATTTTATTACAAAACATACTTAATTGGTTTTATATGTCTTATTATTATTACTTTATTCTGTTTTGAAGGCTTATAATTTAAAAAATTCCTTTGTATTAAATACTCTATAAAAATGTGTAAATTTATAATGAGTTAAAGGTAGTTATGCCTGAAAATACTTCCACCCCCCCCCCCCCCAAAAAAAAACCAGTTCTTAACAAATTATTGTACCTAAAAGTGATAAAATCACTTTCAAATAAATGCTTCGATGCGAATCTGTAGATGGGAAGTATACAAATACCGACGAAAGCATTGTAATCTTTGAAAAATCACATACCATTATTTCATTTATAATTAATATTATACGTGCCTTTATGCCCTCTCTGACTACGGCACTCTTTAAATGTATTTATGTTTATTAAGTTAAAATTAACGTTACATACCATACAGTAATAATCTTTTATACCCGCGGTTAAAAAAAAAAGTATATTGTTTTAATATTACATATACGTATCAATAATTGACATAATCGTTGATGTATGTACGTTGTGTACAATAATCATGCCCGGACGTTATGGCCCACGGGACTTAATTATTTTTGAACAAAATATTGTGGACATAACGTCCAAGTCCTGATGACCATTTTTATTACCTGTCTGTGCTGACAGCTGCAGGCTGCTGCTGTTCCTTGCTAGCTGTTCGTCAACAATGTCATTGTCCATTGACACTTATTTAGACTGATTATTTCGGACACTGGATTGTCAACCTTTTTCAAATGGGCCCGAAAAATTGTTATTTGTGAACTTAAGACTGTCAATGTTGAGCGATTCGTACAGTAATGAGTCGGTTTATTATAGCAAACATTTTTGTTCTCGATTTCATCTATCCAAGATAACTGCAGTTGTTCATGTACCTCATCATGGAATGGCAAACATATTGTGTAATTTTAACGTTTCCTATTTGCTTGTGCATGATTATAATTTATAATACTTATACTAATAAGTATTATTAACCGTTACTAATAGATTAGTGCACTTTTGTATGTATCGTGTAGTCGCATAGCGCCAGAAAAGCTTAACCCACAAATTATATTTCGTTTTATTACATTAAACATTTTAGAATAATATAATACTTCAAAATCAAACTGATCAAACTCTAAAAAAAAACCTCATCCACTAAATAACAGAACTTATTTTTTTTGGAGTTGTCATATAAATAATAGCATTTTAAAAACTACAATTGGATTTTTCTTGAAATATTGGATTTGTGGGTTAAGCTTTTCTGGCGCTATGCGTCTTCGGCCTTTTTTAAATTTCAACCATTTCTTTTTGAAATACTAGCAGTAAAATTATTTAATTGTTATGAATTAATCAAAACAAGAGTTCACACTCTCAACTCGAATCGGTTAGGTTTTAATCGTTAAATATTTGTTCTGAAATCTTAATACTAAAACAATTACCTTTTGCACATTATTTACATTCTAAAATTCACCGGATTCAAATTGAAATAGTCATAATATTGAGCTATTGATTTTGGGGGATCAATATTATTTTAGAAAATTAATGCTATTTTAGTAGATCCTAGTACTTAGCCCTCCGACGTACATTTAATCTACTATAGTACATTAAATGTATGTCGATGGGTAGGTAGAGGTAGGTGTACCTAACTTAATTATGGTTTGGCGTTATTCAATAATAATTATTCATTTGCATTGGATATTTGGACTAGCTTTCCTAGTCATTAGTCCTGTTGTCCTGTTAATCGGTTTAGTAACACATTGGTTTTGCAATGATATAATTTGTAGTTGGAAATGACTAAATAATTATTCATTCGGTGACACAAATAGTCGAGTTTGTTAATTATGATCTACCTACCTAACAAATCTTCTTTTTTCACAAAAACTTCCCCACCAGTTTTAGTATTATAATTATAACTATAAGGTTAGCTATCATAACTATAATAGATTTTCGAACCTCATCAAAAATAATTTTTAATAAATCACAATACTTTATTTATCATGTTTTTATTATATTGTTAGGTTTACCGAACTTTAACTTTCAAAATTATTCATTGATAATTGTTTTTTTATTTTATTTTGGGATAGTTTAGTTTTCTAATTTAAATCCATGTTCATAAGCTATATGGTTAACAAATCAACATTACCTATATTATATTATCATATTACTATTTACTACTGGTAAGTGGTAGCTGTATAATATTATGCGTTGTACCTATATATTATTACCTATTTGTTGCTTTCTAGTTTTAGTTTTATGGTAGCGCGATTAATTGGTTTACTGTACAGAATATATAGGTTCAGTTCAAAAATTTAAAGTAAGTATCTTCTCTAAAATGTATTAAGTATTCTGTATTTCGCTTATTCTCAGGTTGACTTGAACGTGCAAGCAAGATTTTGACTCTATTCCCTAACAGCCCTATGGTAAAATTTAAACGTATAAATCACCCATAATTTTTCAATACGAGCTTAGACGTAAGACATATCATGCACATTTTTGTATAAAAATAAAAAAATATTTGATTATTCATGTAACTAATTATGTATTTTCAATTTATATTCTAAAACATTGAACAGAACACTGTTAAGCGTCTGTGATTATGACAGTGATATACGGTGGATAATTTTTGCTTTGCATATTATAGAGGTGACATAAGAACCGCAAGCTATGCGCATCCATATTGTACCCGAGGGAACGAGTTTTGAATAGGTATGTATAAAAAAAATGTAGATCCCCACCTACGCGCGCGGCGGAAATAAAAAAAAATATATTTATATTAAAAAATTACATAATAAGGTAATAAATAAATCGGTCAAAAAACGAACGGTCGTGCGATAGCAGCGAGGTACAAAAAAATAAAAAAAAGTAAGGAAAGAAAGAAAGAAAAAAAAATAATCTCGACGTATAAAATACACCTAGGTACGGAAAACGCAGGAAAGGCGCTCGTCGTGTCGCGTGAGCTGCGGGGAAAACCGCCGCTGTTTTACCGTCAGACTTCAGTTTTCCCGTCCGCTTTAGCCGCGAAACACGCTTTGTGTTTTCCGTGCCTCTCCGCCGCCGCCGCCTTCGTCGGTTTCAGCGCACATTCGCGTGACCAGCGGGCAGAAATAAACGCGCGCCCTTCGTCATTCAGCGCGCAGTGGTAATAATAATCGTTGCCCGTCAACGGCAATAATACACAATTTATTGGTCCGGCGCGAAAGAGTGTCCGTTTTTTTCTTCGTTATTTGTTATTTCTACCATATATTAAAATAATATTATTATAACTACACAACAATACATATATAAATAGACCGTCGCAATGTATTTGGTCACGACCGTTTTGTCCGTTGGATTTCCCAATGAACCCAATGTAATTTTTCGGGGCCACCGGTTTTCCACCGCCAGAGCACGGAGCGTCGCCACACTTTGACGGACTTGCCGCGTTAAGGTAAACGACATTAATGATACTATTATACATACATCATCCACCGGTAAACTTGCACAAACATTGGTAGATACATGACGTACCTATCATAATGTCGAGTGTTCTCTAAAGACCGTGTTCTTCGCTTTGGCCTTATCCCGAACAAATTGGATTCGTTCCCATTTGTTTGCTCCCTTATCCTCGGCTATAAAACATAAACCATAACATACACTGTGTATATCCACTTTTTCTTCGGTCTACAACTACTACTATCATGCTCGTTTCACTGGTTTTATTATCCGCCGTTCTTTCTCATTTATTCTAGTACAGGCTTCCCTTATCTTTTATTTTCTTCTTATTCCGTCTGACCTCGTCATTACACACATCCATCTCAGCAATTACATATTTTGATTTACTCCCGTTTTCCTTTTACTTGAAATAATTAAATGGCATCATTCCATCTGCTATAATGGATATATCTTGTATTGTAAAGCCCATTGGCCATTTGTTATAAAATATCTATTTAATTTATCAATTCATAAGTTTTCACAATGCTATAGCCTTTACAAATTAAAGCCAGGATGAGTTAGATATCAGAGACTCGGATGAGTACTTAATATAGTTTTTGAAAATAAACCAGACTTGATTGTCTTAACGTTTTACTGAAATATGTACACATCGTGGTATAATGGTATATGTCAAGTGAAACTTTGTTGATTCTTCAGCTGGTCACAGTATAGTAATGCATACTTATTGCATTTTAAATTTATGTGCATTTCTTTAGTCTATGTCAGTCTAAATTTGTGATGAAATATTGCGTTTAGTTTATGTTAATTGAGTTTAATTGTTTATCTATCATAATTTATCATTTATCGTTTCACTGCAATGAAGAAATTTGGTTTATACTAACATATTGTGTACCTACTACGTATGATGTAAAAATGTTTATTTTTAAAAAGTTTGGGAAATACAAGTATTTTCAGCTTAAACTGACCGGACAGATAAGTTAATCGTAACTTTAAGTGACAAAACCACCAGGCTTCATTAGTTATAAGTCGCCAACATAATGTCACATTACGGTGACGTTTCAGGCCCATTTAATAGAAAAAGTCGGATACCAATTCTATGACAGGGTAACGTAGAATAATATAATCGATTCACTTAAGAACTAAAAGTCCTAGGAGAATTTTTCAAAATATCGTCTATTTTTTTTTTTTTGCATGATTTGGAAGTATATATAAAGTTTTTTAGATATCTATTGTTTTAACTAAAGATGTTTGAATTTATAGAAAATTAATAACAAAGATAGAATATTTCCTTTTACATAACGTTTTTAAGTAATTAAAAAAAAAGTTACTTAAGTAAAAAAAGAATAGCTCTGTTTTTGATATAATTTTATAAGATATTACAGTATTTTCAATAAAAGATAAAAAAAAGAATTCGAAGATCAAGAGTAATGAGGATGAAAGATATTGTATTGTATTCTGGTAGATAAATGAAAAATAACCACCGAAAAATGTTACAGTATAAATATAAGTTGATTTAAGTGAAGAAGCCTACAAAGTTTGGATTTAATACGCAGTCTTAAATGTATTACCGACTCTTCGTCAACCTCTTCGGGGCGTGGAAAGTTTATTATTGAAGTCTTTTTGACGAGTTTTGTATTTTTTGCAACTGTACCGTAATAGTTTTACAATTTTAACTTTTCTTATTGTTGATAAAGATAGCGTGAAAACAGTCGGTTCTTAGATATTTTCAACATGTTTCTACACAAGAAACATTTATTATTTGTAAAGTTATAAAATATTTAAAAGACAAGACATAATATATGGATGAGCGGTGACGATAAACTATTTGAAAAAAAATGAAATGCTAATTATTAATTAAAGGAATAATTTATTTGTGGGCACATAATGCAATTGAGAATATTTAGATTGAGGTTAGAAAATACAATTCCGATGAAGATGTAAATAAAATGGCATTACGATGATTAGAGAATTGTTAATGGTATTAAACGTTAAATGGTCACTATTGATATCGACTTATTGGAGTTTTCCCCAATTAACTGAGAAGTGTGTTTAATTTTAAATTACTTTTGGCTGGGTTATCGAAATGCTAAACAGTAGGCTTTATATTTTTAAAAAACAAGCTTCTATTATATTAGCAATTTTTGTGGTTTTAAATTTGGGCCAAATTTTAAAAAATTCAATTTTACTCGCAAAAATGTATGATTATAATAATGTGGTATGACATAATAATAATATAATAATATATATTATATATAATATAAACATAATGATAATTATTATCAAGTGATAATGATTTATGCTAGCAAAAATCATTTTGCTGCGAATTACGTAAAAATACGAATATACAGAGTGGGGCAGTGCAACGGGCGATTTTAAAATAACTAAAAAGAAACTAACAAAATTGTTTTAAATAAATTTATTCATACCACATGAAAGTATATAAAAAAGCATTTAAAAAGTGTAAATTTTGTATTTAATTTTTATGAACGATATCCGCAAGATGGCGTTCATTTCGAAGCAAGCATTCGTCAAGGCGTTCAGATGATATGAATACATTTATTAAAAAAAATCTTGTTGCCATTTTTTTTTTAGTTATTTTAAAATCGCCCGTTTCACTGCCCCACCCTGTATAATAGCATCACTAGTAGTAGACAATTTGTCTACTTATACCGGCTTGCCCCACCCCTCCCCCCCGGACAGGCTAAAATTAGAGATCCTACCGCAAAAGTGTATAATATTTTAAAACAATAAACTACATTTAAAACACATTGTGTTCTACAACAGCCACTTGTAAACAAATTGTATTGATAAAAACATAATTGTAGATGTGTTAAAAAAAAAGAAACACCATATTGGGCCTAAACTCTAGGCGTACTTTAATACTTATGGTTCGTTCTGTCGGTTTGTTTTCTTTACAACCTGCTTCGAGCAAAGAATGTGATGGACCGCCATTTGTACTTTTCGTTGAAAGTTATAAGTGGATATACGAACAAACAATTTCTTTAACAAATATTTATAAATAGTCTATTGTGGCCGGTTGACTTTTAGGAAGAGTGTCATATTCGGAGGATTGCTTATGTTACATAATATTGTGATAAATTCTAACCCAACTCAATTTCAACCAATCTCAACCAACTAAAATATTTTATACCACTCACATTGATAACAAACATAAACCTTATATAAGAAATACCGTGTTAGACGTAAAGTTCGAACAATAACCTAATCTGTATACAGAAAATTGTTTAACTATAAGTGTACATTTATATTTTATATGCTACAAGATGTGAAAATTACTCTTTTTAGCTTCGGTGTGTTTGTTTTGTTTAATACCGAGTAACACTGCGTAATGTTTATTTTATTATATTAAAACATAAGGTACACTAAAACTTGAGAGTTAAGACTATACAGGGTGTTACAGAATAATTCGACAAATGAAATAACTTTTATTCTAGTGATTAGTTAGATGTAATAAAAAACGTAGTGCTTATAGCGCAAATGAGTATAAATTAATTTAAAAAAAATAAATCTTAAAAATATTCACTAGAACAAAAGTAATTTCATTTGTCGAATTATTCTAGAACACTGTATATGTATAAGGCTTATAATAATTGTATTACTTTATATTATTACTTTCACAACGAGAAGGCATTCCGAGCAGAGTTCATCATAACAATTCTATTCATTAAATACTTGAATAAAATGAAAAAATAAACATTTAATATAGCACGCCGGCATAAAATCTTTACATCAGTGGCGCAACCAGGCTTTAAAAGGGATTATGTTCCCTCCCAAAAATAAATCCGATTGATCCAATATTTTTATGTGTTTTAGAACCAAATAGTCATTATAGTAGTATTACAATAGTTTTTTTGTATTCACTTGATCTATATTAAACAGTTATAATACATAAGCCAGGAAGTGGCTAATATCCGTATTTCATAAAAATAATCATAACCCATGAACGTAAATTAATAAATATATATTATAACATATTATGTGTTTTTGGGAACTACATCCGATTTTTTTATTTTTCTAACTGCTGGGTAACCATATTTTACTTTATAATTCAAACGTTTATTTCGGACAATGATTAAACATGTATTACATAGCATTGTAATTTTATTAAAACGTTCGTACAAAGTTCACAGTAAAACCAACAAGTTGTTTTATTAAAATTATCACACGCAAGTAAAATGTTTAAAAATGGTATACATATATTATGTGTAATAAAATATTGAGATTCAAGTTAATGCATAACAATTAAAAATACCATCTCAGCCCTTAATATATTCTTATATTTTGGTACATAATAATAATATAAAATGTTGTTCGAATAACAAAATAAAGTTTTTCTCCTAAAATACACTTAGCCTTAAGTAAATGTTTGTATACAAGTTATCTATTGTTGTATAAATATTTAAAAAAAAAAGTTATTTCTTTTCTAACAAATTCATTTGACTATCCTTATATATATATATCCTTATATATCCTGCAGCTTGATGTATCTGTGTGATACGTGTGGATACTCTTAACTTTATTTTCAAATTGACCCTCCATTATCCCCCATGACGTAATAATAATGACGTGAGCACTGTGACACTTAACAAGTCGAAATTTTCAGAACGACTCCCAGCCAAAAAGTCATGTCAAAGTCCATGTCAAAAGTTTTCACGAATAAATAAAAGCAGAAAATTTGTTTACTAGCGTCAAAAATAATAAAATTAACAATCAAAAAGTTTACATTTTACTACAAGGCATAAATTTTATTTTTAAATTTGTATGTACTCGAAATTAAAATATAGATATGTTGATGCTTGATAATAAAACTAAAAATGAGTTTAGTATCGTGAATAGCTGCACGTTCACAAATAAGTTTATGGTCAAAACATAAATTCCGTTTCTCACACATGTTAGCATTGATCCATAAACTTATGTTTTATTTTATAGAAGGTATAAACCGTAGTAATTAGCCTTAAAAAAAAAAAATTTTGG